TACATGTACAATACATTTCTTAAAACTACATTTGACTTGTTATTCACTACAGTCACACTTTCATTATTCCTTTTCCCAAATCACCCCTCCACACACACTCCCCTTCATCCTCTCACCAGTTATGGTATAAAACCTTATAAGATGAATTAAAACCTGCCACGTTCTTATCAAACTGCTCAAATAAACTTGTGGTCACACTTATGAATGAAGACTATTTCGAAACATTTGAAAATGGTACTAACAGCGTGGTCTTTAGAGAGCTCCACAGGCCTCATAAATGAATTTCATTCAATTAAATGATTCATCTCAAAATGATGTCCAGTGTATCTGCACACATGATCATAAATATACATCGCAGAATAACAAGGGCTACTAACGCCAAGGGTAAGACTTCATGTAAAGAGAATATGTGCAAGTCATATGATATCTACTAGAAGACACATTAAGAGAAACTAAGAGTATACTAAGGACAAATACAGAACACAAAGAGACTTAACTCAATAACCATAGATGGCCCAAAAAACCCTGCTGTCACAATTTAATCACAAAATGAACCAAAAAGCATTTAGACAGAGCACAACCGAACAGAAGAGCCTATGAAATAAACTATAGTGAGGAGTGAGTTCTAGCAGTAAAGCTGTAAAGTAAAGCAGATCCTTCACAAGCAGAATGCACACACTATAAATGTCTTGAAGAGCCTATAGTAATAGAATAGCCAAATCATATAGTTTATTTTTTTGAGTTGATATCATTTCAACGGATTGTTTATCGTGCAATATCAGTCAACTGAATCAAATCGAAGAAAAATCATATCCTGGCAGTTTTTGTGATATGGGCGAATATTTGGTCAATTGTTTCCAAATATATTTTATTAAGTAGATTAATCGTCTTACTGTTTTCTGCGTTTGAGTTCAACCGGTTATCAAGCTTAACAGTAAAATGTACTTGTTGCTGGAAGCTGATCTAATCTTGGGTCATGGGCTAATCTTGAAGGTGTGATTAACAGAACCTCTTATGTGCAGTCAACAGCAACCCCTTTTCAGCCAGCCTCATAATCTCATTTGGGTGGACCGTAAAACTAATGGATCTGTAAGGAACTAAAGTGAAGTCAATTAATCTCTGCTCTCCACTCATGTTGAGTCACTGTTAGGGCTTGCTATTGTTTAGGATTACTGCTGGTGATGAAAAACAAATACAAAAGCTTTAAATCACTCAAAGATCAGAACAATCCTTGAAAAGGGCTTGAGCTGTTATCGCCTCAGTCAAAATATGATAAAACAAAGCAACGTCTTTAAATATCTACAGCATTATGTTGTCTCAATCCAAAATTGGTCACACACACACACACACACACACACACACACACACACACACACACACACACACACACACACACACACACACACACTTTGGATAAGTATTTACCTTATCCACATTGTAAATTGTTGCCTTCTTCAGAGTTATTAGTAATTCAAGATTAATTATTAAATTAAATGGAGTACATAAGATAAAATAAATAAATAACCTTGATTTGATAATTTTGTTCACAGCATTATACCTGTCCTCTAATCTCTACTAGAATAAGATAAGTGTGCATGTGTGGGTGTTTTAACACTCCCGTAATGTACATAATCTTGTTATCCTTTTCTTGTCCTGCTCCCAGAGAGAATGACACTCCCAAACTGCCACTCCTCCTCCTCCAAAGACTCTGGAGGCACATGAACATTACAGCCGTTGATACTGTCTCAATGGGTCTGGCTCCCCCCCACTGAGCCATGAACTGAAAGCATGACATCTGCTTTAAACACTTGGAAGCCTCCCTGTCACACCAGCACCAACCCTTGGGATCAGTCAGATGAGACTAACGGCTTCACTTAGGGCATTTGGTTCAGATACATGACTCTCGTTACCACAGAGTGGGTTGGGTTTTTAAGGCTATTCATACGCTATGCATAGGATGCCTGTGTGTTGGCAAGCTGTTAAAAGCCCCTACTATTGTTAAAATAGGCCTAATGTCAGGGGTCTCTTAATTGTCTAGTTCTACATGTATTCACATTATATAGACAATGTATCCACCTAGTAAAACTAAAGGCTGCACGAAACTCAGGCTACAATACAACCATCCTGTTCTGCTCTAACGATTACATTTATAGATTCTCATTCTACATCAAAACAATTAGCTCTTATTGTTTCCAATGATAACGTCACCTTGAGTGAGGAATGCAAACCTGTTTTCAAATGTAAGGTTTTGATTATCTTTGACATTTCCAAAGAGAAATATATTTCTGGTAAACTAATATTTTATCAAATGGTAAATGGTGAATTAATATACATTTAGAATAATTGAGAATGGTTATATCCACAGGGACAAGCTCACCTTTAACTTACAATATCATTTCTCTTCTATGGACTGATGAGTATATGATTCTTGCATGTTAAATGACTAACACAAACCTTCAAAATGATAATGTGCATGTGTCAGGAAGGCTCCCAAAGCAATCTGAGGGCCTATCCTATTTTTGTAATTAAAATGATAATGTGCTAATCCATTACTTTGAGTTGTTATCTCTCAGGAAAACCTCCCTATCAGGTGTTAACCCAATAACCAGGTCAGCTCTCAAGGCCAGGGTCAGAGAGAAAGGGTCCACACTCTCGGGTGCAGAGAGCACCCCCAGCCACCTGCAAGGAAGCAAGAGGTCGTTCGAGATGAGAGGATGCTTCTCTTCACCTTTCTGATGAGAGGGGTTATTCTCTTCACTATTCTGATGAGAGGGGGTTCTTCCTTCTTCACCTTTCTGATGAGAGGGGGTTCTTCTCTTCACCTATCTGATAAGAGGGGGTTCTTCTCTTCACCTTTCTGATAAGAGGGGGTTCTTCTCTTCACCTTTCTGATAAGAGGGGGTTCTTCTCTTCACCTTTCTGATAAGAGGGGGTTCTTCTCTTCACCTTTCTGATGAGAGGGGGTTCTTCTCTTCACCTTTCTGATGAGAGGGGGTTCTTCTCTTCACCTTTCTGATAAGAGGGGGTTCTTCTCTTCACCTTTCTGATAAGAGGGGATGCTTCTCTTCACCAACCCTGCAGGATGAGCGAGGGCTTCAGAGGCTTCTATAATAGAAGGTTCCATGTTTCTTGGAGCAGTTTGATGTCTTCCTAACCTCTCCCATCACGGGGGGGACACCTGGATGCATCAATAGGAATACTCAGTTGAACTGCTCTCAACATTGATAGCAGAAGGAATACAGGCAGATGAGCCTCCGTTTCACGGGGGGGGGGATCAACTACGATGCTCACTGAATGGGCCACACAAAAGCAGAGCAATATGAGGGGTTAAAATATGGCACTCTGATGAAGAAGAGTTTGAGTGAATCAGCCACCTCAGTGCTAATCTACAGTATCAGGATGCCTTACACAGAGAACAAGTCAGGAAGACTGACGGACATGTTCTTCCAGCTCTCGTACAAAGATGAACTTTTAATTGAATGACCAGAGGTTTACAGATATTTTTATATTTTCAATGACCAGACATGTGTTAAATAGTGGTGATTAATATATTTTTGTCAGATCAGATTACACTTTCGCATTAAACAAACTAAATAAATTAATATTTTCAGATTATAAGGTATTGAATAATAAGGTATTTCTACTATTATCACAGATAATGTTAATATCCTTAATCGTCCAGCAATCAGACTTAACAACACTCCTCAATGCATTATACATGCACAGACAGACCTAAAATGTTGTTTCAAGAACTGGATTAATTTCTGTTTTGGCCCAACACAAATATGTATAATAATGAATACAACAATTATATAGCATATTGGATCTAATTGGATATAATTTAAAGAAATTGATATTCTATATTCAACATTAGATAAACACAGAAGAACCCTTTCAAAGTAGCATAAGTAGATTTTCAGGTAAGTATGGCTAATAAGAATAATTAATTGAGTTCATTTGGTACAGATCAGTTGTAGCATTTACAAATGTATGAATTATAGTTTTTAAGAATGTTTAATCCTTCTTTCCAGGTTCTTACAAAAGTCTTTGAATATTTGCCTAACTTGTCCTTTTCAGATTGTTTAACATTTTGAGAATTGTTTAACTTTTCCCTTCATATTTTGAAATGACATAATGATTGATAGGTCAATTAATGTAATTCTGTTATCATGCCATAGTCTTTTGATTTAATATGTAATGAGTAATGTAATCCTAGGGTTGATAGTTAATAATATCACTATATGTTAAGTTTATATACTGAATACTTTAAAAATATAGCCTTTTAAATCTAAATGTTTAATTCTTTATAGTCCTGGGTAATTTATAAAGTACCAGGGGCCTCATTTATAACGCCTTGCGTAGGATTCACGTGGGAAGTTTGCTTACGTAGTACAAAGCAAAAAAATAGGTACAGAAATGTTCCGACATTTTCCGATTCACAAAACATTGCGTACCGGCGAGGGAAGTGCGTACGGCACACTTCCTACGCCTGTTTCCCTTTATAAATCACAATCGACTCGAAATGCGGCGCAGCGTTTGCGGGCTTCACATAACGCCCATATTTGCCTATAAATAGTAAAAGAAACGCCCATTCATTCATTCATTTTGACTAACTGCATGAAGAAGATCGCAGGAAATGACAACAGAACAGCTAAAAAAGACATCTCACACCGTGTCAGATTTTGGTTATGTTGGGGAGGTCGAGATCAATTATATTGTTTGGTGGATGCAGTTAATTAAGTTGTGAAGTAAAAAGTGTGAGAGGGTGACTTTTACTTCTCTAGATTCAGTTCAAGATCACATCAGAAGGACCGAAAGCACCCACACTATGTGAGTCCGGCCATCAGAGTGGCCATTATTAGTGGACTTTGGTGCTAGTTTTTTTCCATCACAGATGTGATCTGTTTGCATGCTCTGTAACCTTGCCCTTCATATTAGTTGTTTGAAGGGGAGTGTACCAGGGACAATGGAAATAAATGGGACAGGTAAGATTAGCAATCATGAATCACCATGTCAAACTATGGGATTGCCACTCCCTCCCCTGCATCAGTAAGACCTTCCCCCCTGCTATAAAGCGCTGGAACTCTGTCTCATCTTCCTCAGAGTTCCCAAAGAAGCAAATGGCTATGGCTAAAGAGTGGCTGCTATGGCTGTCAGTTGTAGCTGCCTGGTACAGCGGTAAATATATTATATTCCATTAGGAAGCTTGACAATATAACAAAAGGGACTATTAACAGTTCAAATGTTTACCTGTGTGATGCAGTCTTGTTCTGTTTAAATGTAGATTGAGATTTGTTATGGATTACTTGACAAAATAAAACGTACTTTCAACAGATGCAACGTCTGCTGTGGACCCGTTCACCTCCAGGTCCCAGATTCCTGAGAGAATACCAGGTGAGCTTTTGGTTGTTGGTTCATAACTGTAAACAGCTTCCTATGGAGGCAACATGTGAGAATCATGCATGGACCTAATGACACATTTACAAATTGGCCTTTGTGGCTTAATGTCCTGATCTCTCTGAAGGTGTAAGTCCATCCACAATGGCAAGGTTTGCAGTACGTGGGGCAAATTCCACTACAAGACCTTTGATGGAGATGTGTTCCAGTTGCACTCCACCTGCAACTACGTCCTGACCTCTTCATGCAGCAGCTATTACAAGGTCTTCAACATCCAGATAAGAAGGGGGGAAGATGGCGACCACCACACCATCAAAAACATCATCATGAAGCTGGAGGGCTCGGTAGTGGAGCTCTCTGTGGGCTCAGTGGTCATCAACGGCAAATCGTAAGTTCACCTTCAAAACACTAAGACCTTTCTGCTCTGCCTGCATGACACAGTGCTGCCGACACAATAGTGCATACGATACGATACAATATACGATATACGAATACAAATATGAAATCTCATAACTTTAATAGAAATACACTTGGACTGTGGGTTGTGACTTCATAAACAGTAACATGGTTACCATGGCAACTTTACTATGTTACTAATTAAATCTATTTGTGGTATTCCTATTACAACTGTTGAATGAAGTGGTTAATGAGGTGAATTGTGTTGGGAATAAATGTGGTTCGATGTTCAATGTTTTATGATTTTGATCTGCAAAAAATCCCTGACAAAATGTCGGCAACTGTGAATCGATTTGGCTTGCTTACCAGAGGGTCGCTGGTCAAGAGTCCAAATGGACCAAGTAAGGGCACTGCCAAAGTGAGCAAAGCACCAGAACCCCACACTGCTCCCTGTATAGTAGCTTGCCCACTGCTCCAGGACTAGGACTGGTGTTGTGTACTTATGTAGGACGAGTAAATAAGGATATGATTAAAATCCTCTATTTCCATTTGCCCTTGTTTGGATACCATTGAAAATCTCCCTTTGGCTCTAACCAGCATGAAATGATGACTTTTCTTTTGCAGAGTCATCTTACCATATAGTCAAGCAGGTGTACTCATCGAGAGAAGTCACACCTACATCAAAATCAAAGCAAAACTGGGATTATTTGCTATCTGGAATGAGGAAGACTCTTTTCTGGTAGGATTGTGTTGGCAGAGAAACATCCTTTATCGCCATTATTGTTGAATCACTTTAAAGCTTTGAATTAAAGTGCGACAAGGTGAGGCTGCACACTAAACAAATGATGTTTATAAGTTGAATGCAACATTTTCATTTGTGTAGTAGAACCGCCATATTCATATTATTTAACCAGTTAAACCCCACGGCCGCGGGCAGGGCAAAACGCAACATCTTGCAAGAAACAGCACCTGAGGGCTTCTTAACATTCAATAAACTATGAATGTGTCATACTCACTTAACGGGAAGAAACTCAGCTTTCAGACAATATTAACCATGTTTTAGCTAAACGAAACAAAAGGGTAATACCAAAGGCTCTGACTTAGCCCTGAGCGAAAAAAATGCTAACGCAATTAGCACAGAACTCAAGGTAAAAATACCTTTTATCAAATCTGCACAAACAAGATATCGATTAGCAAACTGAGATTCCACAGATTGCGCGACAGGGTAAGCAAACACAGACATCACACAACGTGGCATTACGGAGCAAACACGGAAGAAATTCTTACCTATGCTGTTGTTCTGATCAAAAGTTGTGTTCAATGGCATTAATACGATAGAAAACGCTGCTGCTGGTTAATCCATAGGTTTAATCCAATGTGTCTGTGTCACTCTGAAATGATTACTGATAATCCATCTTCATATTTATGTCAATAACAGAGATTTCATATTAGCTGCTACGAGAGTGTATGACGGCATTCTGGCTACGCACCACTCATTCACCAATGGGTAATGTTTAGATGGATTTAGGAACTTCCCTCGATTATATTGACTCTAACGGTTAAAAAGAGGTGTCAATCATTAAAATCGAACATAGATATGGTAAACGCACCCAAATGACCCCAGAAGTGTTTTGTTTTCTTCTAAATCTCTCTAAAAAGGTCAAATGTCACTTGTTTTGCATCAATCATGATACAGGGTACTTATTATATGCTATAGTTTGGATTCCTAAAGCTTTTAGTCTACTCTCCCATCATTCAAGGGTTGTTTTCACTATAAGTAATGTTTTTTATTTGGACGGACACTATAATTTACATTTTTTTACTATGTTCAATCTGAATTTACTTTAAATAAAAAAATTCTATATTGATTCTGACTTTTCTACATCCAACTCACAGATTTATAATTGCTTTGAGAAAAAAGATTATTAATTTACCCCTTTTAGAAGTGAAGTTATAGTTGTTCTGGGAATGTCATTTTCGAGCCAGAGGCCTGAAAAACAGGCTCATGGCTCAACTGGTTAAAAATAATAATAAAATAATAATTAATTTATTTTATATAGGCGGTTAAAGCATCATATGTACTTTGATTTCTAAAAGTCGTATTGATTATCAGAATTAGCATTTTATGGTGAATCATCTGCAGGTTCTAGCTGTCCCTTAATGCGATGGTTTTGTTCTCACAGGTGGAATTAGACCCAAAGTACAAGAACCAAACGTGTGGTCTTTGTGGAGACTTTAATGGAGTCTACAATGAGTTCTTCAGCCATGGTACACTTTAAGCCACATAAACAACTCCATCCGTGTACGTTTGGCCAGAAAACTAAGATGTTTCTTTGATGTAACCCAGGTGTGAAAATATCCCCTGTGGATTTTGCTAACTTCTGGAAAATGAATGGTCCAACTGAAAGCTGCTCTGACTACACACTGGAATCAACACAAAGCTGCAACAACATGGTGAGCATCCACCCACTCTATGGAAACCAAAACATATTGTTTTAACTTACTGGGAAATAGGTTAATTTGAGAATGAAAGGACTAATACCTCTTTCTATTATTATTTTGTAATACTTCTTATTCTATAGTTACGTTATTGTATTCTTCTTCTTCTTTGCTTTTTTCGTCTCTGTCTTCTTCTTTTCTTCTCTTCTTCTTCGTCTTGCTCTTCTCTTCTTCTTCTCTTTCCTTCTTCTTCTCTTCGTGGTTCGTTCTTTTCTTTTCTTCTTTCTTCTTCTTGCTTCTGCTTCTTGCTTCTTCTTCTGCTTTCTTCTTCTATTCTTCTTGCTGCTGTCTTCGTTCTTCTGGAATTCTGCTCGTCGTTCCTTCTTCTAGCGTCTTCTCTTCTTACTCTTCTTCTGAGAATTATCGTTCTTCTTCTCTTCTTCTTCGGCTTCTTCTTATTATTCCTAGAAAAATCTTCACAATACAATACGAGTACTTTTCCCAGGAATAGTTCCGATAGTTCTTGGGATTTTTGCGTTCACACCAAAAAGATCTGGAACTAGAACCTAGTTCCTGCGAACCTTTTCACCCCCTTTTTTAGGGACTTTCTTGGGAGAAAACGGTTCGTGGGTGTGTCGGCCACACTAACAATTTCTGATTGGCTGGGCGAATTGCAAACCACGCCCTGTAAAACTCTGAAAAGTTTTGTGAAGCCGCCATTTTATTTGCTCGCATTAGCATTATTAGCATTAGCCCAGCGCACCAACGGAGAGAGACTAACTTATGGCAACACAAAATAAAACATGGGAGCGGTAGAGTGATGAGGAGATGTCGGCGCTTCTGGCGATTTACCCGGGACTTTGGGTGGCAGTATACGCCGTGATGTTGTTTGCGGCCTGCCAGTAAACGAGAAGAAGTGACGTCAGCGGCTTCATTTGCGTAATCCTCCCTCAGGGACTTATTCTGGTGTGAACGCGATCTACTAGGACAGTTCCAGGGACTAGAAGTTTGGGGGAACTAAGTATCGGGAACTAAGTACCGGCAACTAAGTACCTGGAACTAAGTACCGGGAACTGAGTACCGGGAACTAAGTACCGGGAACTAAGTACCACAAAGTACTTGGTGTGAAAGCGGCTATTGACTACTATACCATCTTCTGCGTCTGTCTCTCTCTCTGTCTGTGTGTGTGTTTGCGTGTGTGTGTGTGTGTGTGTGTTTGTTTGTTTGTGTGTGTGTGTGTGTCTGCAGAGACCTCAGTGTGAGCAGATCCTCACTGGCCCGGCGTTCAGCAGCTGTCACAGTGGGCTGGACTTGGCCTCCTTTACCTCTGCCTGTGTAGCTGACCTCTGCCACAGTGAACAGCTGGATACCGTCTGTCTGTGCAACACTGTGTCAGAGTACTCCAGGCAGTGCAGCCATGCTGGTGGACAACCCCAAAACTGGAGAACCGAAGAGCTCTGCTGTGAGTTCACTCAATACACACTGCTAATGGAAAATTCCATGTGAAGGAGGGTTATTTCAGTTTCCAATTAAGGGTTTTAAAAAGCAGATACACTACAGCGTATATATGTTCAGCATCATGCAAATGTTTCATTTATTCAATTTTTAATGAGAACTAGAAAATCCAGAGACATTTTGACAGTGTGACTGAAACTCTGGTACGCATCCTGATGCTAACATTACCCCCGCTGAGTAAGTATTAATAGCATTAGTTGTATTGTTAAGGTACAACAAAGAATACCCAAACATTTTAGCTGACTATTTTAACTGTTTATCTATTACATTTTTGGATTCTTGTACCACATTTCTGCATCGTTCTGAACATCTTTAGATTACCACTGGATTTAGTTAACGACTGACAGTGTGTTCAAAGATCAAAGCGTTGGCAACGCCCTGCAGTGAACGAGAGACAGCCGTCAGAGAATGTATTGACAATATTGTGCTGCATAATTGCTTCTAAGTAAAAAACTTGTAACTCCAATCAGCTACATATCCTACCCAGAGTATTTAGGTCACCAGATGCAACACTGATGGCTCTCGTGTTTGCTATATGTGATATATATGTGTCCGTTTGATTAAATGAGCATCGGTGCGGCCGTGACAAATTTCCCTACATTATGATCACCAAATGATGTATGAAGAGTGAAAATTGTGGCCAGCCGAGCAATAGTTCGAAAAAAAAACTCTTCAGATTTTCCAGCTCCTCTCCTCCTTTAGCCGTTGATGTCACCCACTCTAAGTCTTAACCAGCTCTCCCATACACACCCATTATAAATGTGAAAAAGTGTGACATTTTCACAAACGTAAGCTGCGACTACGTGAGAACTGTTACTAGCTATAAAAAAATATCCAATCAGTCTAATACAGTCCATAGTCTCGAGAACCGTTTAAACTTGTAATTTGTTCGTACGTTAAGTATGCGGAATCTGTATGGGGTCAAAATTTCCCATTCATTCCTATGGGGCAAATAATCGCAATTTGTTCTGCGATTTGCATTAAAACGGCTAGGCGAATCTCTTATAAAGACCATAGCGATCCTGGTCATTCCGCCACATTTTGATGTGTTTTTTGTTTGGTTTCGTGTCAACGCTGCCGGAACAAGTAAGCATGACAACATTCGTGGCGGAAAGAAGGAGAATAAGATGAGACTAGTGAATGCAATTCCTGAAGAAATTGCTAGTGGGAATGCTTTATGCTGAAAAGCTGACGCTGAACTGCTATGCTGAAATGTAATGTGTAAGAAGAAAGTGAAGAATTTAGATTGAAATGATACATGAACACTGGGGGCTTGAATGTGTGATAAGAGAATAAAAGAAAGTGAAATGGCTTGGAAAAGCAGCAGAATATTTGAACTGCAAACCTTTGAACTAACTTGATGGTGAATGGTCTGTCGCCATGGCAACGGTATTCCATGACACCCCATAATATGCTTAGATGTGTTGATGGCTGCATCGTTACCAAACCTGTGAAGTTTTGGGCCGTTTGGAGCATTTTCACTGAAGTTATGAGAAAACCGTTGTTTCATAGCGAGCATTTCTATGGCAACGGCATTTTGAAGACATTTCAAAACGGTCATGTAGATGTCTTTACGGCTGGACTGTTAGCACACATGTGAAGTTTTTGAGCACTTTTTGACCATTTTCATAGGAGTTATAGCAATATCGTGTTTTACGGCGAGGGATGCGTTGCCATGGCAACAGCTTTTGAGGAAAACTCACGAATGGCACATAGACATGTTGAGGGCTGGACCATTAACTGTCATCTGAAGTCTGGTGGTGTTTTAACCATTTTCATATGAGTTACAAACAACATCGTTGTGTTATGGCGAGGGATGCGTTTCCATGGAAACGGCATATGATGACACCCCATAATTGACATAGAGCTGTTGAGGGCCGGACCATTAATCATTATCTGAAGTCTGGTGCTGTTTTGACCATTTGCATAGGTATCAAGACAACATCGTGTTTTTTGGCGAGGGATTAGTTTCCATGGAAACGGCATATGGTGAGATCTCACATATGGCGTAGAGCTGTTGAGCCATGGACCGGTGATATACAAGTGAAGATTGGCGGACGATCGGACCGTGTCCATTGGAGTTACAGCGACATCGTGTTTTATGGCAAGGGATGCGTTGCCATGGTAACACCACATTATGTAACATCAGATTTGACCTAGAGCTGTTCAGGGCCACAGTGTTAACCATCATGTGATGTTTGGTGGCGTTCTGAGCATTTCAGTTTGAGTTATGACATCATCATGTCATATCTCCAACACACAGGTGTTTATGTTTGAGCTAATGACGTTATGAAACACCTGTGCTTGAGCCCATAGATGAAAGGTTTCCATGGTGATGTGCAGTAATCAGTGAGAGGAGGGCCTTTCCATTGTTCTGAATGAGAGATAAACCTCCTACATGTGAACGTTTTGTTGAAGAACCGTAGCAGATATCGGTGAAATTTCAACGCGTGACAGCATGTCACGGACCCTGAGCGTCTGAAGTGTGCTTTTAGTGTACTTTCGGGTCAATAATGTGGCCTTTTTGGCAGATTAACTAAAGGTGTACGGCTGCTGCTGTGAGGAAAGATCAGGCTGAATTTACAATGGGCCTTAATGGAGACATGTTGAAAGTTTGTGTCACTTCATGCCCTCAAGAGGCATTTTGTTTAATATTTTTGCTTAATCGTTTTTAATTTTTCAAGTTAAGAGATGTTTTCCAACGTATCTCATGAAAACGATGTCCAAGGAGTGTAGGGTTTGGGAATTGTGACAGGTTGAAAAAAAATATTAAGATGAATTTCAAGCTCTCCTCCACTCTAGCTGTGACATCACGCACTCTAGCCTTAACGAGCTGCGCAATACACACTAATGTTAAAATCTAAAGAAGGCCTCCTTACCAAGGTCTGAACAATGTTTAATATTTCTAAAAGTATGAATCTGATTTAAAAGTTGTGTAATACGAATAATGTCAGAAAGATGTGTAACATTTTAAAGTTGGAATTAGGTTCTGAGTGAAAGTATGAAGGAACAGTTAGCAGTTGAAGTCGCATGAAGATTTTTCAAGTCTGAAGATGGTTCCTCCATTGATTCCATCTTAAAATGTGATGAATTATGGGATCCCTGTAATTATGAAAGTTATGAATGAGAAAAGTAATAGCAATCGAATCCCGAACGAGCGCTGACGTTTTGATGTTTGAATGGAGTTTTTGCGATGTGGAATGTGGCGAAGAGGGACAAAATAACCCGTCGGAATAATAATAAGAATTTTGTGCGTAGAAGAACAGATAGTTGGAATGCTGTATCAGCACACTAAATAAGTATGTCAAATACTATACTGTGTGTGGCTTCGCCAGTCACACAGAATTATGACTTACTGTGAGTTCTTGTGAGAGAATGGTGTCTGGCAGTCACTTTGGTGAGCGCGTCGTTAGAAGCGTGCGACTCTCTGTGATTTACGGAGTTCCCTGATAGACAAAAGCATTACTGGTTGCCAAAGTAAAGCTCACCACTGATCACTGTTAATGCTAGTGGCCGTGCGCTATATCTAAAAAAATCGTGCATTATGTTGCTCTAATATAATTGAGAGAGGAGATCATGAACCTGGATATAGCTCTGTGATTACTTTAGACCAGGGCTGGGGAAGCTTTTTCCTATCAACGGCCATTTCAATTTTTACAACATCTTTCGGGAGTTTTTTTTTCAAAGGATTTATCATAAATGTAAAAATAAGTGATAATACGTCTGAACAACAAAACCGACCACAAACAACTTTCTTCCTTTTATATAATTATTTTATTCTTATTTATGTTCATTTTCATTCAGGCTGACCATTTTGACGCGTTGGGGTTTAACAGCCTACTGTAACAAGTTATTGTAATTTCTTCCTGAAAAAATGAAGCCTTGTCAGTGTCTCCAAAAATACACGATCATATCCTGGATTATTAGATTATCAATTCAAAATTCAGGGACATCAATAAATGTAGACGTTAAAGGTGGGGTATGGTCATTTTGGAGAAACCAGCTCGAGTGCGCTAGAATTTGAAAATACACAGCCGGAAAAAAACTGCCACTTCCTTACAGAAGCCCCTCCTCCAACACACACGAACGCGCACATGACCAATGAGGGCACGAGATAAATTTGTGCACAGATGGAAAAGGCTGACAGGCAGGTAGGCCATCCAGTTATTTTAGCTGGGCCGGCTAAAATGATTGGTCGTGCTTTTTACAGTACTACGGCTTCCCACAGATGACGTTTTTTTTATGGATTTTTTGTCAAAGCACTTAAGATATTCATTGCTATCGGGATGTTAAGAGCATTCCATGGAATATAACAAAAAGTGTTGTCTCGAGCCGGTTTCTCAAACTTAATAACTAAATTAATAATTTAAAGGCATTCTGCGGGTTGGACAGGTCAGCAGGACACAGAATAACTACAGAGAGCAGGGGTTATTAATGTGAGATAACTGTTTGCCTTTTATTAGTAGCAGATCAGCGAACATGTGTGCAAACCCAAACTCCATCAAAACTCTCTGCAGCGACTTGCAGCCGACCCAGCAGCGATCAGAAAGCTCCCTTGCTTCCTCTCTCTTCACGTGGTTTTGCGAGGAAAAGTGAGGGAAACATGGAATCAAATTAAGACAAATTAGATGGACCTACGGACGGTCTTGTTTATTTGAAGTTTTTTATATGACTTGATCACTTGATGACACGTTCCGCTCGTGTTTGTTTCAAGGACCCTGACAGTGGCCAGGAAAAACAGTTCATTGCCCGGTGTGTTTTATTGCTGTCTAGTTTTTAGAAATCTAAATTTGGAGTTGATTTTGTATTTTTTGCATGTGTTTATGAATTACTTCGAGGGCCAGATCAAATGGTCTGCGGCCCGTACACAGTCCGGAGGCAGGAGGTTCCCCACCCCTGCTTTAGACCCTTCAACTACAGCACTGATGACTCAACTGTTTCTCTAACCAAAATCAAGCAAGACAAGGTCTCCATCTGCTGTGAATATGTCAGGACTAAAATGATGGGCGTGTTGATTGAAGCTGTCAGACTCAAAACACATTATTTATTGACTTTGATTTCACGTTCAGGTACAAAGAAAAGTCCCTAAGCAATCATTCACCATTCATTCAGGTGAGAGAGCAGAAGCTGATTCCTAGAACCTGATGCCATTAATTCAACCCCTTAAGTGTTGGCGTGCGGGTTGAGGGTCTGGATCCAGGCTACAGCAGTGAAGTTATGAAAAGTGAATTTTACTAAAAATAAAATGTATCTACAGGGAAGTCATGTCCGGAAGAAATGGAGTACAAGGAGTGTGGTAGTCCCTGTACTGATACCTGCTCCAACCCAGAGGCCAGCCACACCTGCGACAACCACTGTATCGATGGTTGCTTCTGCACTGCAGGTACAGTTCACACATTTCACATTTGTATTCAACACCATTTTAAGCTGTAAACAGGGTGTAGTGCTGCCGGAGCGAGATTCAAATATTGCAGTAGCCTACCCATAAGGAGCCGTACACATGCCGCAGTTTTTTGCATGGCTGTGTTTTTAGTTGAAAGCCCAGTGGCATCTGTTCATCTGTCATACTAATCATACAATAAAGCCATCGAAAAGAATAGGATACCGTAGTAAAAGTACTTCTGGGTCTCTGTGTGTCATTCAAGTTTTTGCTCTCAAAGTACAAGAGTTGATTTAAAAAACAATAATAATCTTCCCGGGGGAGCATGCCCCCGGACCTCCCTGGAGGATGTTAGGTTGACCACCCACTAATAAAAAGAGTCACATGGATAGGATTCTAAATACATTTGCACATTTTTGATATAGTAACCTATGTCCATATGTTTCTGTTTTGGTGGTCGTGCCACAACCGTGCACGTGCATGCATGTGCGAGTCATAGGTGCGCTCCTGCACTTATAAAAATAGCACTACACCTATGGCTGTAAACAATGTCTCATAATACTGGTTTACATGAATAACTGCAGAGAATATACATTGAATAAACACTGAAAAAGTATTCCAAAATCAACTTGGTTGAAGATTTTCGGATGAGTACAATCTGATGCATAAACGTAATCTAGGGTTACCCTTTCAATTCCTATGGCGGTCATATTTAAACCAATCAAAATTCAATGAAAGTGGTGATCAGCAATGTTATGGGTTCAAACTGTGGAGGATATCATCAGTCCTTGAAGAAATCAATTGTAAAACACAATATTTATGATTGATGAAAGTAGTGAATTGGTGTCAGATGTAACCCGTAAGCCACAGGAGGGTTAATGCAGTGGTACTCCTGTCCTGCAGGCACGGTTGCTGGATGATCTGAATGGACGGGGCTGTATTCCGCTGAAGGAGTGCTCATGCAGCTACAACAGCCGGACGTACAGACCTGGGGAGTCCTACTCCAGCTACTGCACAAAAAATGGTATATGGCATCCAGTATTTCAGTGTTTTTTAAAGGAACACGACACACAAATGGAAAATGTGTTATGAGCGAAAATGTGCTATGAGTATTATTGAGATGAATCAAACTACAACAAAAAAGAAACAAGAGCACACCACACATAAGGGCTATTTTACAAGTGCTTTCATAACAAAAGTAATGACAAAATAAAGCTAAATAGAATTGGTGTGTGCTAAACGTGTGTGTGTGTGTGTGTGTGTGATGGTGTGTGTGAAGGTGTGTGTGTGTGTGTGTGTGTGTTGTGTGACGGTGTGTGTGTTGTGTGAGTGTGTTGTGACGGTGTGTGTGTGGTGTGTGTGTGTGTGTGTGTGTGTGTGTGTCGTGTGCTGTGCGAGCGAAGCATGCGAGAGATGGGACGTGTGTGTGTGTTGTGTGTGTGTGTGTGTGTGTGTGTGTGTGTGTGGTGTGTGCGTGGTGTGTGTGTGTGTGTGTGTGTGTGTGTGTGTGTGTGTGTGTGTGTGTGTGTGTTGTGTGCGCATGTGTGTGGGTGTGTGCTGATAGTGTGTGTGAGAGTGGACAGTGGAGTTGTACAGAGGAGAACTGTCCAGGAACCTGCTCTCTGGAGGGGGGGGCTCACATCAACACCTTTGATGGCAAAGCCTACACCTTTCATGGGGACTGTTCCTACGTCCTGGCTAAGGTAGTACACACACATCCTCTTCCGTGCTGTTATACCAAACACACACCCATGCCATGGTAACACTTGCACTTTAGAGCTACCCAAGCCTGAAGCAACTGACGGTACTATTCATGCAAGGTTCTGATTAGTGTTGCTCTTCTACTGGGTTCTATACACTGCTATGTGCAGCCATGTTATTTCACTGCAGCTGTTTGAGAGATGTGTGAGAGTGTTGTGTATCTGTATTTAGGGACTGCAGTGCAGCCCAGTTTGTAGTGCAGGCGCAGCTGCTGCAGTGTGGAGTGACCGAGAGTGAAACCTGCCTTAAGTCTGTGACCTTGGGTTTGTCTGGAGGGGCTAACGTGAGTATAATAAACACACACACACACACACACACACACACACACACACACACACACACACACACACACACACACACACACACACACACACACACACACACACACACACACACACACACACACACACACACACACACTAGTTTTGCTTTACTTGTTTTCAAATAATTTGTCACCATTTTCGAAAGCATAATCGTTTATCACCCGCCTGCCATTTCTTCCTATATGTATTTGAGTATACAATTACAATAATATGAAAGTATTGTTGCAAGGTAAGGGAGCGCACACAATATTTGTTGCTTGGTTTTTTATTATGAACACACGCCACAGAGATGATAACAGGTCTCTTTTCATATGAAGGTGATCACCATCCAACCCAGTGGCAAGGTGTTTGTGAATGGCATCTACGCTCAGTTACCCTTCTCTGCTGGTGAGACACTTTCCATATCTAATCTTATCCTTACATTTCTTCCACGGTAGCACCGTAACTTACATGATCTGCGTTTGTCAGTCACAATCAGTTGTTTTTCCTGAACGTCTGAATGGAGAGACTGCAAGGACAGCATCATCTCCTTCCGTTATTAACTTACCCAGCCCTAATATATATATTTAGCAGTGGCCAACCGTGTCTATCACAACTGGACCTTCTGTATTCACACACACCCCCCTCCACCGCCCCCCCCCCCACCATTATAATGTCCGTCTTCACTGAATTGTCGTCTTGAAAAGGGTACTGACAACAATTCCGCAACAACATCAACAAAAAACTGTTTGGGAAAAAATGTAAACAAATATTTTGAAGGCCTGATTTTCTATTGCTGTGCATGCAGTAGGCGTTGGACTGGAAGTAGCGGAGACCATAAACGGTTTTGAAAACTTTTGTCATGTAGTGATCATCTTCTCAATAAAACATCTTTGCTGATGTTTTTTCGAGTCTTCTGGCCAATCAGAATCAAGATTGTTGCCGGAAGTCCCCACGGAGAATAACTTTGCGGTAGAACTATTCTTTATACATCCATGGGTACGACTTCAGAAAAAAATGAACACATGATGAAATATGACCCTCGGTTTGATGATTGACAGGTCACAGAACAATGGGGGCTATCTACCCTAACCCACAATTTAAAATAATTCACACAGACTCTCTCCTCTTTACTCTTCTCTCTGTGTGGAGCAGCAAGTTCAGCTGTCAGAACAAAGTGAAAAACAAACAATGGCATAACACATTATTAATATGTAGGGTACTAATACATTTATTTAATTTCTTCTCAGAGTGTACCAGAATGCGTAGTTTATATGTTAGTATTTCTAAAAATCTCCTGGTGGAGAATCCCCCCAGACCCCCTTTCTGGGGTTGGGTTTTCAGCATGTGTGCCTTTTTATGTTTTACAGTTCAGCTTTGATTCCATCATCTCATTAAACCTTTTTTAAAAGCATACTTTAGTTCTGTGAAGGGACATAAGGGATATATGCACTGTACTTCACTTTAATTAATATTGTATGCTGAAAAGCGTATATTATAGCACGATTCTTTGTTGAATAGATTTGAGTGTTTCAAAATTTCGGGTCGCGATTTATTGACAAAGGAAAAAGTGGGTCCTGAGGCCTGACCAGTTGAGAACCACTGTTCTAGAGTACCCTGGAACTGAGGGAAACTCTGAAAGAATACGCCCATTGGCTACAAATCAATATATGATTGGTTGATCAAACTGTCAATCCAAACGTACGCTCTAATTCAGTGTAAGGGCCAGGGGCCTCATTTATAAAGCACTCGAAATGCGGCGCAGCTTTTGCGGGCTTCCCGTAACGCCCATATTTGCCTATAAATAATCAAAGAAACGCCCCGTATTAATATTCATTTTGACTGACTGCATGAAGAAGTTCACAGGAAATGACGACAGAACAGCAAAAAAAGACATTTCACACCGTGTCAGATTTTGGTTCTTTTGGGGAGGTGGAGATAAATCACATTGTTTGGTGGATGCAGTTTGAACCAGAGTAGCAGCATGAAGGTCGGATCGTCACCAAAATAAATAAATAAGTGGTCCGAAAAAAGTTAATGACAAAAAAATACACATAACCTTCCTCAGGCAGTGTGTCAGTGTGTTTGTGCCGGGGACAGGAGACCCCCCCCATGATGAGAAACTGTAAGAAAGTATCGGGGGATCCCTGCGGAGTGGAGTCAATGAATGTTTATTTTTTTATTTGGTGGTTTGTGTTCCAGCTGTCCAAATCTACCAAATATATGGTGTTCTTAGTTTCCATACCTCCTGTGTTTTACGAGCGACTTATCAAGTCTTAGTAAACGGCATAACACATGATTAAACATGATAGTATATAAAACCATGCTCGTATCTATACAACCTATAGAAAAGCAAAACGGCCTCAGTTTAGACGTAATTCTGTCCTTCAGCAAACCGCATCATTTATGAGAATACATGTCATAACATTAAAGGGGACCTATCATGCAAAATGCACTTTTGTACGTCTTTTATACATGAATATGTGTCCCCGGTGTTCCAGGGAACTCACCAAGTGTCAGAAAACACAACCCTCTCTATTTTCCTCCATACCCAAATCTCTAAAAAAGGGGCTGCAACGGATCTGATAAAAACTGATCCAGATTTGAACACTGTCCTGACGTCAGGACGGTGGCGCTACGGCTATTGGGCCAACTCCACCAATCAGGAGGACACAGCCACGGCCATTGCCATTCGAAAGCGCTGGAGACGCTGTAGTACATATGCCAGGCCTGTAGATGGTGCTGTTCTCACAGAATCTGCCCTTGCAAAAACAGAGCCAAAATATGTCAAATTGAGCAAAATGAGGCATGGCTAAAATGCATGATTTGTTTGGTATTTTGAAAAAAAAAAAGTATAATGCCTTATATAGGTATGGTCCTACACTATATTATTCAAATATAGCATGATAGGTCCACTTTAAGACAACATATTCAAGGTGGTTTTCAATAACATATCCGTATATATTTATTTCTCCAAGTTAGGTTTTTGTGTGCACTGAGGAGTCTCAAACAGGCGTTTGTTTAATCTTTTTAAGATTGGCTTCAATCAATTTGTTGCAAATGAATTCTTCATATATGATACATGAGAGGTAACATTATATTTATGGTATTATTTTCACATATTTCTCTCCATTCTTCCTTCTGCCAATGGTGTCGCAGTTTCTCGTCTCTCCCGTTTTTGTGCGTACCGCGTACGGATCGGTCAGAGTTTGCGTGGAGGACCGCACATTTTCCCAAGTCAAGTTTGTTTTTTATAAATCAAAAACATTGCTTAGAAACTGGCGTACGCCATCTTTTGAGCGTACGCACCATTTATAAATGAGGCCCCAGGGCATTCTATCATGGATATAGAATACCTTGGTTGAAGGATATTCTACCCAGAGACCCAGAAAAATATCTGATTGGTTGCATTTTTTTTCTAACACAAAACCACTCAAATGCGTACCGAGAAAGACAAACAAATCAACGTAACATTGTAATATACGATGACAGATCAACAACGCATATACGATTCTCATTTAGTCATTTTATTTACATTTTATAAAATGTTTTTAATATAATTACATAGATTTTTTGTTTGTTTTTCTGAGTGTTTCAGGGTATTCTCTGAATACCTTGAATGCCCTGACGGTTCACCACTGATATACAGTATATATACGTTTTTTCCAGGTAAGGAAATCAACAGCATGGGATCAGTAATACTACACTTGATGAGCTTCTCTTTTTAACTTCTACACACATCCACCAACCAAACAACATGACCATCTTTACTGCAGATCAGTCATTCCATTTGCCTCTGAGCTGGATAGGATGACAGCTTGCAGAAAGTGATAGATTTTTTTAACAAACTCCCGTCCCCCCCTGCAGCTGGGATCTCGGCCTTCAGAGCGTCCTCCTTCTACCTGCTGGTGCAGACGTCTGTGGGGGTGCTGCTGGAGGTGCAGCTCCACCCGGTGATGCAGCTCTACCTCACAGTGACCAGCGACTACCAGGCCAAAATCTGTGGTATGTGTCCTGAAGTCATCTGTACTTCAGAACTCAAATAGTGCTGGCTATTGATCCCTGTTTGTTGTTACAAACAGTAAACCCAATATCACAAATAACACATTTTGGGTACAGCCTGATAATAATGAGTTACAATAATCCAGCCTTTAAGTAACAAATGCAGGGAATAGTTTTTCTGGATCGTTTTGAGGCAGGATGATTTTAGCAAGGGTACCCAGATGAAAGAAGGCGATCCTTGAGATGTATTTTATGTGGGCGTTAAAGGACAAATCCTGATCAAATATAATGCTGAGATTCCTTACGGTTTGGTTGGAGGCCAAGTTAATGCCATCCAGAGTGAGTCCTGTCTGTCTTTAGGTCATTTGTTTTGGAGTTGTTTGGGGCTGAGTAAAATAATAACTAAAAAGGTGTTCAACCTTAATAAAGTTAGAGGTCATCAAAGTTTGTATGTCCTTTAAACTTTAAGCATTCTTGAACTCTATTTAGATTGATAGGTGCCATCTGGCTTGGCTGATCACCTAGATAACAAAGAAAGTCAGAGTGAATCCTTATTATATCATATTGCCTAAATATATATAGCATATAGCATATATTGTTCAAATAAATAGCATTTGAACCAACCATTTTAATATGCCATGTACTGCTGTTTTCAAAGAGTAATATGTATGAAAGAATGAATGAATGATGCACTTAGGAGCACATTGAACTGATTTGTTTTAGTTAGTCAAAGTTAGTCAATATTTGCTAACTCAAGTGGCATAAGTTTGGTTCTAGTGTGGGACATGGCATTTTTATGTATCACGTATCAGTCTGTTTCAGTTTGAAAGAACAGGAAATCTGGATAGACATAGTAAAGTGCCCTGTGGGGGTCCTGATCATGATGTTCCTGCCTGCAGGTCTGTGTGGCAACTTCAACAGCAACCAGGCGGATGACTTCCTGAAGCTCAGTGGGGTTCCAGATGCCACAGCAGCTGGTTTTGTCAACAGTTGGAAGACACATGCTGGTTGCCGCGATGTTAAGAGCAGCTTTGAGAACCCTTGCAGTCTTAGTCTGGAAAATGGTTTGTCTGACTCTTTCCGCTCTTTGCTGACATTTTGGGTTCTTCAGAATGTCTGATGTTGGTCCTGTTTTGTCACCGACAGAGAGATACGCCCAGCACTGGTGTTCAATGCTGAGTGAGCCTGAGGGAGTGTTTGCCTCCTGTCACTCAGAGATCAGCCCTGACTCTTACAAAGAGGTGAGTCTCACTGTTTCCTGTGGACTGTTCCTAGACCAGTCTCCAGGCCTGTCACATGACCTCACACTGCCCTTCCTTTTCCATTCCGTCTCCTCCCAGAACTGCATGTATGACAGCTGTAACTGTGAGAACAGTGAGGACTGCATGTGTGCTGCAGTCTCCGCCTATGTCCATGCCTGTGCAGCTGCAGGGATCCACCTCAGTGGCTGGAGGAACACCATCTGTGGTGAGCACTGAGTAACTGTGGAGCAGAGTCAAACCCAAAGTGTTGCATCAGTATGGAAGCATTGAATCTGAGAGCATGATGACAATACAAGTGATCTTACTGCTTTTAATATTGTATTGTAGAGCAGTCTGCTCTTGTTTGATAACAACAGATTATTGCTAAGGATGCTTTGATCAAGAGACCATTTGCATTTATATTAATCAGCAGAAAGAAGTCTGGTCAATTTAACCTCAGCTGTGGCCAATAAAAACATTAGTTTTTCTCCATCAGAAAACACAGAGTAATATTTTATATATTTGAGGAGAACAAGAAACTAAAAAACTATAAAAAACCTCTATCAGTTCTGCCATCATTTAGGTAACCTCACAGTAGATGCTGTTCCAGTCATTACTACACAGTAGAATGGACTATGATGTCTTACCGAAAGCAAGCCTCCTTCCAGAGGAACACAACGGCACAGCCAGCGCAGAACCGTGTACTGCTGATGGTGTGAAGACAGCTTCAGCAGAATGATAATGTGACACAGCACTGGCTATGCCAGACTACATTTTCTACATTGTTGTATTAGGCCATTAGTTTTTTTTTTAAATAATACTAATAGTAATGTTAATAATCCACTAATAGCCAGAAAAAGGGGGTTGTAACTCTGTTGTTGCTTGGACCCTTAACCAAAACCATTAGCAGGAAAACACATCCATCAACCTAAAGCCCTGCAGCAAAACTACAAAGAGATCTTGATGTGACATCGTAGCACAACGGGCTAAAAAACAGTGGCCTTCATGTGGCCGGCACTGACTCTGCTGTGTCCTCCTCAGGAAAATATGCCAGCTCGTGCCCCAGCAACATGGTGTACTCGGACAGCATCACGACCAGCAGCCACACCTGCCGCTGCCTCGGCTCCACGGACCTCAGCTGCCACGCTTCCTTCCCCCCCATTGACGGCTGTGTCTGTGCACAGGGAACCTACCTGGATGACACCGGGAAGTGTGTTCCATCTACGGCTTGTCCCTGTTATGACGAAGGCTCAGTGGTGCCTCCTGGACAGGTCGTTAACAAGCAAGGGGTCATGTGGTACGTAAAGCTTTTGTTATTTTGGATATTGTTATTCCAGGCATGATATGGGATTTGGTAGGATGAAATGATTCCCCATATTATCCCTTAATGCATCTGCAAACAAACTGAGGTATATGTGTGTACTTAAAATAATTGTGAATTATACGGGAACAGTTATTGTATGCCAACTGATCCTAAACATTATGGCTGTAGTTCCTTTGTGCCAGCTCTGGATCTTCCCTCCTTTCTTTCAGGCTTGAGAGGAACAAATTAATGTTTATCTCTGACATATCTGGAAAAAGGGAGAATATCACAAATGTTTAAAGTGTGCGCTGCAGTGTTATACGTGTATGTATATTCATGAGTTTTTATATTCCTCCTCTAGCTCCTGTAAGGACGGTAAACTGGGCTGCATTGGGCATATTATTGTACAGCCATGTAAGTAACACAATAGAAACACCTGAAAGGGAGTGTTGCCTTACTTCCTGATGGTAGCTTTCAAAGTGAAATGGCAGTGCAGTTGTTTTTTAGCATCTAAGAGAGAAGAGGACTTCATCCAGCTGTGACAGGTTTTAAACATTTGATATCCCTTTCAGATTTAGATCCTTGGAAAGTTGCTGTCTGCCAACATAGGTCATCATTTTCACTTGTTTTATATTTGAAAATACAAACCCGGTTTATGACAATTTCAAAGAATATACTGATCACTAACACTCTCTGAGACTGAGCTGTTTAGAGGGATAATGATCTCATGTATGTGTTGGGTCAGGTAAAATACAGCAGGGAAAAGCTTGCTTAGCTCTGATCAAAAAGACCTACCAACTCCTATAAAGCTAATTTGTTTAATGTGACCAAGAAATAATCTGGGAAGCTGCCAGAGGTGGGAGTAAGTCCTACATGTGCAAGTCATGAGCAAGTCTCAAATCTTGACCTACAAGTATCAAGCAAGTCCCAAGTCACTGTGGTGAGAGTCAAGCAAGTCAAGTCAAGTCATACGAAATTCTGATGAATAAGCCCAGTTTCCGCATTTAAATCAGTTAAAAGACAGTGGTTATGAAAATGGATTCAACCCACACTATGATCTTCATTACATACACAGTTAATCATTTGAAATCTAATTTAGACCGATGGCAATCATATTAGATTCATATTAACCCTAGAACTGCAGACAATATAGCTAGGTCTCAGTCAAAAAGTCTGTTCAAAAAGGCAGAATTCCAGGTAAGAAAATCATATATGGCATTTGCCATTACACATATTTAATTTACATTTCTGTTAACACTAGAACCGCCAACAGCGTCAGCACCTACAAAGATATCATTTTCAAATCATTTAATTTGTTCCTCTTCATAATTTCCTTATAAACTAAGTAGGATGATTTAAAACTCACTTAATTGGGTTCATTTTGAAATTGCTTCAGTTTATCATCACAACAGATCAAAAAGTTCAGATTCATTTTACAATAAATCAAGGAATGATGCACTTCTACAAACAAAAACAACATAATTAAAACATTTAAACAAACTACTAAAAGTAGATGAACTACATTATTCAACAGTTTACAGTAACTTCTGATAATAACACAGGGGAAATAAACGAGGCATCTCTTTTCCTCTCTCTCTCTCCCTCTCCTGACGGCCCGTCAGTATCAGGGTTAGTCAAAATGAATCCCTTGGCGGTTCGAGTGTTCATTTACCGTTTTGTCTTCTCTTTGCAATGCTTAATCGATTTGAAACCAAGTCTAAAGTAGCTTAAACTTAACGTTAGCTTTCTAGCTAACACAACACATTCACGCACCTTTCTCTGTGGGTTTTTTTGTAGTGACGAATGAAGTTGGATGTTGTGGTGGTCGTGTCACTGATCTTTATGCTGCAGACCCTGCATACCGCTGTTCTCTTCTTATTAGCGCCATCGACAACATAATCCTTGAATCCAAACTTCATTATTTTTGGAGTAACGCTAGCCGCTGCCATGTTAATTGACACTCCTGCCTTCTAGTGGGTTGCCAGGTTTGCGCGCACGGCGCTATAATCACCCAATCACGTTTTTCAAAAAAACTAAACGTAATATCTCAATACAAAAACAAATGCAAATATTTAATTTTAAACAGTCAAGTCCTTTCAAGTCATCTGTCTCAAGCTTAAGTCAAGTCTCAAGTCATGAATACCAAGTCAAAGTCAAGTCAAGTCTTTTATCAATGTTAGTCAAGCAAGTCTCAAGTCAAAAAATGTGCGACTCGAGTCTGACTCGAGTCAAGTCATGTGACTCGAGTCCCCACCTCTGGAAGCTGCACAGTCACTGTGACCACACACAACTGCCTCTAGAACCACTATCACTGTTACCGTTATGTTTGAGTACAGCGTTTCAACACACAAGATACAGCCTGAACTTTAGATGTGTTCTTCAGATTAAGACAACATACAGGCAAAATGCCAAAAAGTCTGGGGGAAATATGTACAAGTGGACAGTTTGCATCACAAAAACTAAAACAGAACGATTTGCCGCTAAGACAAAATAATAAAACGCTACTTCCCATCTGCTGTACTTTCTATACTGGAGGCCATAGCTGATGTTAATCATACAACTGCAGTTAGGGCAGTGGCGAGCCGTGAGCTTTATACCTAGGCCCTCTGACCCCCACCCCTTCCCTCGAAAAAAAGAAAAAAGAAAATAGTTATTACGTCACAGCGTATACTTCAGCGGAATATCAAAACAACGGCCCAGGGTGCAAAACGCATCAATGACAGCGACCCTCTACCACACAAAACAACACCTGTGAACCCCATTTGTGTTCTTTGACATTGAAAATGATATTGCATTGTGTTTCTTACTTTCGTTGCAGTTGTAGGTCTTAAGTGTAATTTGGCATGCTTTTATTTTGAAGGCGAGTTCACGCTGTTGACAGGAAGTTGTTGTTGCTATGGAAACAAGAAAAGTTTCACAGCGGGCGGAACTTGTCATCTAGTCCGCGATAATAAAACCCACCCATTTAGAGGGAAGATATGATTGGTCAATTGTACTGTCATTTGACATTACTCTCTCGTTCAGTTACTATAGCAACCCTCTGTGAATCGCAGAGAGGGCCAGACGAGCTTCTTTCATGTAACCCACATTCAAACAGAGACTGAACAGGCAGATTCGAAGGATTTATTTATTTGGAAATGTTATTTTATTAAATCAAGTTTTTTTTCGGTAAAACTAATGAAAAATATAACAAAAATAATATTAAAAAAATATATATTTAAAAAAAATATATATTTTTTTAATGTTTTTAAATATTATTTTTTGGAATATCTTAGGCCCTCACAGAGGGCCTAGAGGGCCCTGACGGCTCGCCACTGAGTTAGGGTGACCATATACGGAGTCCTTAAAGGGACATGAAATACTCTGGCTGTGTGTTAGAGTGATGGGGCTTGTTTACATGTAAAAAAAAACATTTTATATTATATCTTGATAACAAAAATACTCCATCAACAAGGCACCATCTTGGTTGTCAGAAAAATAAGTTTATTTTTGATGTTGCATAAAATCAGGACAACAGTAGTAATATAAAGAAAGAAACCAAGATTCCTTTTAGAATGAAGTATAGTAATTTCAGATATGTCTTTTCTTTGCAGCGTGTTCTCTTCCTATGGAGTTTTTCAACTGCTCTACCCATGGTCCAGCTGCTAAAGGAACTGAGTGTGAGAAGAGCTGTAACACATTAGACATGGCCTGTGTGAGTCACCTTTTTCCCAACATAGAGGAACATTTATCTGCAAATACATTACTAGTTTATATGGATCAAATATTTGGATAATCAAAATAAAACATACAACTGTAAGTTTGACAACTTCTGCAGGTGTCCACTGGGTGCGTGTCCGGGTGTATGTGTCCATCTGGGATGGTGTCTCATGGTAAAGGAGGCTGCATCAAACCAGACGCCTGCTCCTGTGTTCACAACGGCATCTCCTACCAGCCTGGAGAGAGCACCGAGGTGGACTGCAACACCTGGTAGGTGAATCCCAAGTGGAGGGAAAGGCTTTTACTTTAGTTGTTTGGTTACACCTCCATCTTTGAGTGACACGTACAATGAGAAGTCCAATCTCTCTCTCTGTTTACAGCACTTGTAAAGACAGGAAGTGGCAGTGCACTACAGAGGCGTGTGATGGGACCTGCTCTGTCTACGGAGCAGGACACTACATGACCTTTGATCAGAAACGCTTCATCTTTGATGGCAGCTGTGAATACATTCTCACTCAGGTATGAATTCACTCACAAACAGAGAGACAGAACAGATGAATGCACTTGTGGTAAATATGTTATAACTAACCATATCCCACAAAAGGTTTTGGTAAGCTGCAGAAAACCAAAGATATATGCCTTACTATTGAATGGGCTTGCTTAATTTCACGAGACAAGACCGACAGATAAATACTCCAACATCTGATGTGAATCAGGAGTGCTTTTTGAGGAACCACCATTATTTGAATGTGTTGCTGTAGTCCTTTGGCTTGTAGAGTTATTTAAAACCACTGTGACCTCCCTGCTTCCTTAAAGGGGACCTATCATGCAAAATGCACTTTTGTTCGTCTTTTATACATGAATATGTGTCCCCGGTGTTCCAGGGAACTCACCAAGTGTCAGAAAACACAACCCTCTCTATTTTCCTCCATACCCAAATCTCTAAAAAAGGGGTTGCAACGGATCTGATAAAAACTGATCCAGATTTGAACACTGTCCTGACGTCAGGACGGTGGCGCTACGGCTATTGGGCCAACTCCACCAATCAGGAGGAGACAGCCACGGCCATTGCCGTTCTAAAGCGCTGGAGACGCTGTAGTACATATGCCAGGCCTGTAGATGGTGCTGTTCTCACAGAATCAGCCCTTGCTAAAACAGAGCTAAAAAAAGTGCAAATTGAGCGAAATGAGGCATGGCTAAAATGCATGATCTGTTTGGTATTTTGAAAAAAAAAAAGTATAAATATGCCTTATATAGGTATGGTCCTACACTATATTATTAAAATATAGCATGATAGGTCCACTTTCACTGTCCCTGTCAGATCGTTGAAAGAACATATCCCTGACAAAGCAGAGCACGGGAGTCGAGCAGGGCCACTAATATTCATGACTTTTTTCTGTGTGTGCGTGTGTGTGCCTTCCTCAGGACTACTGTGGCAGTGCACAGAGTAATGGAACCTTTAGAGTTATCTCTGAGAATCTTCCTTGTGGAACCACAGGAACCACCTGCTCCAAGACAATCAGGATCTTCCTGGGGGTAAACAGTCAAATATCCATCCATCTGCGTGTCTGTCTCTCTGTAATGTATCTATATCAACAATACAAATCTGTCCTTTTCTATAGAATGCAGAAGTGATTCTAACAGAGGGACGCTACCAGCTGCTTTCAAGTGGAGATGAACATTCAGTTCCATTCCGTTACAGCACTATGGGCATCTACCTGGTAGTTGAAGCCAACAATGGACTCATTCTCATGTGGGACAGAAAGACCAGCTTGTTCATCCAGCTAAGCTCAAAATATAAGGTACCGTCGGATACATTTTTTTGGTCTTATTATCACAAAAATTGATTAATTTGGATATTAAAGCCGACAGCCATGACATAAGGACCTCTACCTTTTCAGGGTCGCGTGTGTGGCCTGTGTGGCAATTATGACGGCAATGCAAATAATGACTTCACAACAAGGGGCAATGCTGTGGTGGTCAACCCACTGGTGTTTGGAAACAGCTGGAAGGATTTACCCAGTTGCCCCGATGCTCAGAGCATTAGCAGCCCCTGCACAACCAACCCATACCGACAGGCCTGGTCGCAGAAACAGTGCAGCCTCATACAGAGTGACGTCTTCTCCGCCTGCCACTCCACTGTAGGTTGTTGATGAGACCATGTTAGACTATTCATGAGCTTTCCTTTTCAGCCTGCTGGCCCAAAGGTTGTCCCTGTTAGGAAGACAGCACATAACCTACTGATTATGCTATATAAAGTGTCTTCAAACATGGACATGTTTACACCTTTATCAGGGTGTTCACTCAATGACTGACTGGTGGAAGATTTATCCAGATCCTTTACTCATGTTAAAGTAGCAATGCCACACTGTAAAAATACCATTAAAAAAAAGGAGTGCAGAAATATACTTGGAAAGGAAAAGGAAAATAATAGCGTTTTGCTTCCATTATTGCATAATAATATTATTGTTTTGTAGGTGGATCCAACTCCATACTATGATGCATGTGTGTTTGACTCCTGTGCTTGTGACACGGGTGGAGACTGTGAGTGTTTTTGCACTGCTGTAGCTGCTTATGCTGAATCCTGTAATCAAGCTGGAATCTGTATACCATGGAGAACCCCAAATATCTGTCGTGAGTATCTAAGACAAACAATCATTTAAGGCAATAGACAAAATGAGTCAGGGTTACATAAGGTAACAAGCTAGATATTCATCAAACACCTTCATGATCTGTTTTCAAATAATATATCACTTCTTTATTATTTAAGCAGCATCAAATATGAGGCACAGGCTAGCAGGGGTCGTAACCATGTAAACAAAACGAACTAGCAGTCTTCACCGCAAAGCTCTGCCCCCTACCTGGCAGTAAGCAAAGAGCAAATCTCTTATCAAGTAGAGTCAGTTTGATCCTCTTGACTCAAAATGTAGTTATAAAGCCCAAAATTACAGATATTACATTTGTCTCAGGTATACAAATACAGTATACGAATACGACACATTTGACCGAGTGTCATCCAGCAAAGTCCTGATGGGGGCTTCTATGCAGGACCCTTGCATATAAGGTTTTTTAAGTCAACTGCTGCCAGATGCCTCTCTGAAAACACTTACTTACAACTAACAAGTTACTGTATTATTTTAGGTATAAACTTGATCATTCAGAAAATGAATACAGATTCAGAAAGCGAAACACCGGTGTGTTATACTACGAAGAAATGATAATATCTGCAGTATTTTCCAGGTTGGTTTTGAAAGATTGAAAACAAGGCCTTTCAAAGAGTTGTAATTAAGATTGGGTTATGGGTTACTTAATAGGCTTAAGTAAAAGATGGCTGGACCCTACCTTCTTGGCCTGTGCCTCAAGGAACATGAGTATAAATATAACCTGGCAGGGTGGATTGATTGCACTGTTGCAACACAACACCAAAAATAACTATATATTAATAAACAACGTTTATATGTTTAATAAGTCTTCTGATTAGTTTTGTATTCATATTTGTATTGCTCCCTGGGGCAGATACAGTCACTGTGGGGATTTGGGAGGGCAACTGGTTTAGTAGAAACAGAGAGAAGAGTGTAAAACTTCAACTCTTGATTTAAACTCTTGTTGGTTATGAATAAAGTTGTCTAATCAACTTAATTCTAGATCCATAGTGGGATATATGGCTTCTTTCCTAATCAGACAAGGTGTTTCCTATACCAGATCATCAGCTGGATACCACATCGGCAGCCAGCATGGGACCAATGACATTAGGCTGAACTTCTGATCACTGGTTGGACTTGTCAGGGATGAGAGAAAACTTCGGAGACCAATATTATCTTTGGATATTTATACAACTACTCAGCATTAACTTAAGAAGTTCAATTGGCGTATTGATCATACTATATTTCTACTTATTTGTAGCCAGTATTTAAATAGTACAGCCACACTTTTACAATTATCAGTACTTTCTCTGAGAGTATCATTTATTTTCCAGCTCTCTTCTGTGATTACTACAATCCCCCTGGAGAATGTGAATGGCACTACATGCCATGCGGATCTCCTTGTATGAAAACCTGCAGGAATCCATCAGGCAGCTGCTCTCCACAGATTCCTCCTCTTGAAGGTAAGTTAAGCTTTTTTATAACTTGAACTAACCCCAAAAACACATTCAAGATTGAAGATTTCTGATTGAACGCATTGTCTCTTTAAATTGGCTGGATTTCTTTAAAGTTCTTTATTTTAAAGTTGTCGTTTAACCACAATGCCAGGTTGAAGTACAAAAAAAGCATTTAATCTGGTTGTACCCATGAATCGGCAAATATTCCAACATGACCATTTATTTGTTTTTAATTAGGTTGCTATCCAAAATGTCCTCCTGCTCAGCCATACTTTGATGAAGATACTATGACATGTGTTTCAAAAGAACTATGTGGCTGTCGCGATAAAGAGGGGAGATACTATAATAATACTGACAAAGTTCCAACAACCGAAAACTGTCATACATGGTAAGTCTTGCATATAATACATGTCCCAGTCAAGGATGTATGGGTTTGTTGCAGGTTCAAATTCAATGAAAACAATATTATTGTCAGTAATATTTTCTGTTTTTCTTCTTGCAGTAACTGCAGTTCAACGACTATCCAATGCTTTTATGATGCCCAAGGTACGCTAAACGTTTGGAGAGATTGAGGGTTGTAAAAATATATAAATATTTCAATTAACTATGTTAACAAAACATATTATCTTTTTACAGCCTGTACTTGCACATATTTGAATAAAACATATTACCCTGGCAATACCATCTATAACACAACTGATGGGCATGGTAACTGCTTCATAGCAGTGTGTGGGACAAATGGTACAATTGACAAGGGGTCATATTTATGCCCAGTACCAACACCAGCAACACCTATGCCCATTGTAAGCACATCTACAGCAAGCCAGTCTTCAGCCACCTTTTTTTTTACAACCACACCAGGTACGCGCAACATCCTTTTTTTTCAAAACTGAAGTCATATTCAGCTGTATCGTGTAAGATATACTAAATAACCAGCCCACCTTGATGTATGTCCACAGAGCCCCATACAGTTACAGTCCAATGCAATCCCTGTGAATGGTCCCCATGGTATGATACTAGCTTCCCAACTCTTGGAACTCCAGGAGGAGACAGTGAAACTTATGACAAGATTAGAGAGGCAGGGCACAAGATATGTGCCAAGCCAAGCGAGATCCAATGCAGAGCTGAGAAATCCCCAAATGTCTCCATTGACAGTGTTGGACAAGTGGTACAATGTGATCTGGCTAAGGGGCTCAGATGCAGAAATGAAGATCAGTCAGGACCACTGGCTTTGTGCTTCAACTACCAAGTCAGAGTTCTGTGTTGTGACTATAGTGCATGCCCAACAAAGCCTAGTCCTTCTATGACACCTTCAATCTCAACCACAAAGCCCCCAATAATACTTACAACCAAACATGTTACAGAAACACCTTGTCAGGAAACGTTATGCCAATGGTCAAAATGGATAAGTTCTGACTACCCTGAAAATGGTAATGGGGGTGGAGACAATGAAATCATCAAACACATCATTCAGAAAGGATTTAAAATCTGCGAGGATCCGGTGGCAGTGGAATGTCGTGCTGAGGAATATCCAACAGTTCCCCTTCACCAATTGCCACAACAAGTGACATGTAATAAACAAGGACTCGTGTGTAAGAACAATTTACAGTTTCCTCCCATATGTCTCAATTATGAAATAAGGGTAGAATGTTGCAGAACAGTTCAATGCAGCACAACACCACAAACTACTATTACTTTCACAACAACATCACAAAAAACACCTACCACTACAACAACCAACCCTTCTACCACAACTGAAACAACAACACCTCAGCCAATCCCAACTGCACCTTGCCCTGGTGGACATGATATGACATGTGGCTGGTCAGAATGGATCAACCTTGGCAAACCCACATCAGGCCCCAATGGTGGAGATGATGAGTCAATCCATAATATAATCTCTGCTGGTTATCATATATGCTCAGCTCCTGAAGAAGTCCAGTGTAGATCTGTTCTTTACCCTGGTTTTCCCTTGTCAGAGTTGGGACAAACTGTGACTTGCAACAAAGATGTTGGTTTAATCTGCAACAACAAACAACAAGGGCCTACGCATCAGTGTTTTGATTATGAGATTAGTTTGAAATGCTGTGGCTGTCAAACCCCTTCTACTACAGGACCCACTACACCCTCAACGCCTTCCACTACAGTAACATCTGCAACACCTTTGACTACAACCACCACGACACCTTCCACCACAACTGAAACAACAACACCTCAGCCAATCCCAACTGCACCTTGCCCTGGTGGACATGATATGACATGTGGCTGGTCAGAATGGATCAACCTTGGCAAACCCACATCAGGCCCAAATGGTGGAGATGATGAATCAATCCAGAATATAATCTCTGCTGGTTATCATATATGCTCAGCTCCTGAAGAAGTCCAGTGTAGATCTGTTCTTTACCCTGGTTTTCCCTTGTCAGAGATTGGACAAACTGTGACTTGCAACAAAGATGTTGGTTTCATCTGCAACAACAAACAACAAGGGTCTACGCATCAGTGTTTTGATTATGAGATTAGTTTGAAATGCTGTAACTGTCAAACCCCTTCTACTACAGGACCCACTACACCCTCAACGCCTTCCACTACAGTTCCAACTTCAACACCTACTACTACGACCACCAAGCCTTCTACCACAAAGCCCCCAATAATACTTACAACCAAACATGTTACAGAAACACCTTGTCAGGAAACGTTATGCCAATGGTCAAAATGGATAAGTTCTGTCTACCCTGAAGATGGTAATGGGGGTGGAGACAATGAAACCATCAAACACATCATTCAGAAAGGATTTAAAATCTGCGAGGATCCGGTGGCAGTGGAATGTCGTGCTGAGGAATATCCAACAGTTCCCCTTCACCAATTGCCACAACAAGTGACATGTAATAAACAAGGACTCGTGTGTAAGAACAATTTACAGTTTCCTCCCATATGTCTCAATTATGAAATAAGGGTAGAATGTTGCAGAACAGTTCAATGCAGCACAACACCACAAACTACTATTACTTTCACAACAACATCACAAAAAACACCTACCACTACAACAACCAACCCTTCTACCACAACTGAAACAGCAACACCTCAGCCAATCCCAACTGCACCTTGCCCTGGTGGACATGATATGACATGTGGCTGGTCAGAATGGATCAACCTTGGCAAACCCACATCAGGCCCCAATGGTGGAGATGATGAGTCAATCCATAATATAATCTCTGCTGGTTATCATATATGCTCAGCTCCTGAAGAAGTCCAGTGTAGATCTGTTCTTTACCCTGGTTTTCCCTTGTCAGAGTTGGGACAAACTGTGACTTGCAACAAAGATGTTGGTTTAATCTGCAACAACAAACAACAAGGGCCTACGCATCAGTGTTTTGATTATGAGATTAGTTTGAAATGCTGTGGCTGTCAAACCCCTTCTACTACAGGACCCACTACACCCTCAACGCCTTCCACTACAGTAACATCTGCAACACCTTTGACTACAACCACCACGACACCTTCCACCACAACTGAAACAACAACACCTCAGCCAATCACAACTGCACCTTGCCCTAGTGGACATGATATGACATGTGGCTGGTCAGAATGGATCAACCTTGGCAAACCCACATCAGGCCCAAATGGTGGAGATGATGAATCAATCCAGAATATAATCTCTGCTGGTTATCATATATGCTCAGCTCCTGAAGAAGTCCAGTGTAGATCTGTTCTTTACCCTGGTTTTCCCTTGTCAGAGATTGGACAAACTGTGACTTGCAACAAAGATGTTGGTTTCATCTGCAACAACAAACAACAAGGGTCTACGCAACAGTGTTTTGATTATGAGATTAGATTGAAATGCTGTGGGTGTCAGACACCTTCCACAACAGTAACCTCTACAGCTACTTCTACCACCATTACATCTTCAACGACGATAATTGTAGTAACAGAAGAAACCACTCAACCAATTACTTCGCCACAACACTGCCATTGTTTTCATAATGGTACAACGTTTCCTGCTGGTAAGTACTGTTCATAATAACTGATTTATCTTGAAAATGGGTCATATCTATTCAAGACACTAGTGTGATATCACAAAAAAACACAAATATAAAATAAAGGCCTATACTACATAAGATATTTGTTGGAAACCCATTTATCCACTTAAATTGTACATTTAGCATGTACCAAACAATCCTATACTAAATTGTTGTAGAACAATAAACCAAACAAGCAGGTTCATTGTTGTTGCTCAAACAAACTCCAGTGACATTGGTACAACGAGTTTAGGGAAAACAGAACGTCTTTCACCATAATAAATATGGATCATATGTATGTTAGCATGCTAGCTAGTTGTGCGTCCGCTGAAAGGCACAGTTGAATTTCGATAAATGTTGTCACAGCTGGGCATTTACAATCCTATTTTCCAAATTGCTTAGAAAGACTGTACAGCAGTTTGTTTATTATAAGACAAATGTAAGTCTGATGAGGTAAATTAATAACAAAGAGTGCCCAAGTCTGCATGTATTTTTTGGATGCACAGTATCTGAATACATCTGCGTCATGCATGAAAGACTTGAATAGAGGATAAAAAAAAGTAACTGTATTCAATTCTATTTACATAAAAATAATGGAGATTACTAGCAGGATTACAATTTAACAATACATTTGAAAATAAGATAATTAGATCATAGGAAGACTGAATCTTATTTTATCTTTTCATTTATTCACTTTTCTAAATCTCTTTTTTTAAATGTGGTGGGTGGAAATCTGATTTATTAAACAAAAATACCGTGTTTGATTTGAATTCAACTATAGTATTCTGTAGGCCTATCCTTTAATTAAAGAGGACACATTTTATATACGGAATAATTTGGTTTCTTCTTTTCTAAGTTGATATTGTTTTTCTACATAATACGCTAAAGTAAAAGCCATCTTAGTGTTTGCATGGTGATGGCATTGCATTTCATATTGAGGTACTCCAAAAGTAACTGAAAGTAATCGGGTACATAACTTTTATATTGTGATATATAAGGTTATTATTTAAACTTGTCTAACATTTAACTAATCATTTTAAGATAATATAGATTTAGGGTAACCCTCCGAACTCTGGATATAACATTATGTGATACGTGATAGACTCCTTTTCACGAACCTGCTGTGTCTCATTTTCAGGCTCCACAGTATACAATGAGACAGACCATGATGGCTACTGTTACACAGGGTACTGCAATGAGAGCTGTCATGTAGTAACCACAGGACAGCCATGTTTTCCATATGCTCCACCTGTGTGTTTAACAGTTCATGGTCTAAAACAGGTAAGACTTGATTTATATTCCATACAAATGTTTTTTGTTTTTGTATACGCAATTGTTCAACCCACAAACTGTTGTCAGATAATGAAATGTGCCTTATTAATTGTTATACCTACTTTTCTGACAAATTATTTAGGTTTAGTCAGCACAACTACTTGGTTAAGTTTAGGAACAAAATGTGATTTTAGTTTAAATAACAAGGTCAACATCCTTTGTTTTGTGTCCCATCCCTCCCTTATGGAGTTTTCTAGCTGATATACTATGCGACTGACTATAGCCTCTGCTCCTGTCATAATTGCTACTGTTGCTATACGTGTTGTCTTCTTTTATTCAATCCTTTGGTGAAAAAACTTGCTGAAACATGATCAGTACTGCCTTCTAGTTGGTTTAGCAGGCCCCTTCTGACCTGCATTTATAAAGCTGAAGACCACTGATAGCACTCATTTAATCGGCTGATAAATGGAACCAGGCGTTAAATCCTTTGATTGTTATTAATGGATTAAAACCACTCATCTAAACACCAATCTTTAATTATCCTGACAGAATGGTGAAAGTTGGATTGTGAGTAACTGTACTCAAGCAACGTGTCTAAATGGCAGCGTGTTCCTGGGCCCCAGACCGTGCCCTACTCAAAAGCCTGTATTCTGTGCAAATAACTTCGCTGCAATTAAAGTGCTGGATGATGATGGATGCTGCTCCCACTATGAATGTCAATGTAAGTCTGACCTGCTAAAATGTTGTTGAAAAGTCCTAAGGTTGAACATGTAAAAGCATTTTACCTAAAACAATCTTTTATCTTCTTTTCTTTATCTATACTCTTGACTTATATTGTTTCAACAATTGCGTGAAATGTCATAAAAAAACTGAAATATATGTTTTGTATGAAGGTATCTGCTACGGGTGGGGAGATCCCCATTATGTCACATTCGATGGAACCTACTATGGTTTGCAAGGCAACTGTTCCTACTGGCTGGTGAAAGAGATCTCGCCCAAATATGACTTCAGTGTTATGATTGACAACTACTACTGTGGAGCAGCTGATGGCTTGTCCTGTCCTCAGTCCATCACAGTCTTCTACAAAAGCTACAAGATCTTTATAACGCAAAAGGAAATAAATAGCACGTCTAAAAATCAGGTAATTCAAAGCAACTATTAACTTTCTTCATTTAAATTTAAACTAGTGATTATCTTAGCTTCAACCCTTTTTTGTTCCCTTCATCGCAAATGCAACCCATTGTGTGAACCATATGGCGCGTTTCCACTACACGGCCTCGCTCGGCCCCGCTCGGTATGGCTGGGCCTCGTTAGGACTGGCTCACTTTATGGCGCATTTCCATTACAGTTTAGGAACTGGGGTAGTATCTATAGTAACGCAGTGTAGGCGGAGCCGTGACGTCATCTTCAATGAGAACTCCAGAAAAACAACACAGCCGTTAGCTGTTAGCACTCAGAGCTCACAGCTCCTCATATATGTTCAAAAACTAGACAAAAGTTAAACAAGTACAAACCACAGACTGCCTGTGTCATGGTGAATACAGTCGCTGCTTTATTTATGTCTGTAGGCCGTTGTTGTGAGTGTGGACGGTCGGAGCATATACTGCGTTAGCTTAGCCAATCTCCATTTAGAACACACGCATTTTAAAAGGTTTTTCGCCTGCCGTCTGTCTGCAGACTTGACAAAGCATTAATTCATGGTTTTTACTAACCGGTATCAGTATGTTGTTACTTCGGCATCATTTTGAAACGTGTATTACAATTAAATCACGGTCAAATATGTCCATCTTGTTGTAGTTGTAGCCCCCTTGCAAGCGATGCTCTCTCTAGTTTAGCATACTCAGCCCGACTCAGCCTCGTTGTCTCTGGCCCTAGACCCGCGATTTTATGAGGCCAGAAAAACTGTGAATTAGGACCCGCCGGCCGGTACTAGGCCAAGTGGAAACGCAACCAAAGACGGGCCGCTGACGTCACAGCCCTCTTAAACCGGGCTGCGCGCTGTAGTGGAAACGCGCCATTACAGAACTGATTTGATCCTTATTTGTATAATTATCAAATGCATTGACCCTTACAAATTGTAATTTCTGCTTTTTGTTTTAGATTTCCATCAATGACAGGCATGTAAGTCCTGCATACCAGAATGGTGACTTCCGTATAGCCACCACTGGTATTGATACAGTGCTTCTCATCCCTAAAATCCATGCCAAGATCACCTTCTCAGGGCTCATATTCAGCATCAACCTGCGCTATAGTAAATTTGGCAACAACACCTGGGGACAGTGTGGTAAGTCCTGCAGTTTAAATAAAAAGCATCTCAATGTATGTAGACTTTGGAAAGCAGTCGATGATGGACATGCTTCATATCTACAGAGGTTGAATATTTTGTGAAGTTAATACTTACAATCTACATCTATTGTACCTATTCGACACATTCTGCCATCAGTGTGATTGATAATGATGAGGGTTTCTCCAGGCACATGTGATAACAACCGGACAGATGACTGCATGTTGCCCAGTGGCAAAATTGATTCTTCATGTCCTAATATGGCACACGAGTGGCATACTAACGACAGCAACTGTAAACAACTTCCTCCCACACCAAAAACAACTCCTACGCCCGATACCTGCAATACAAGCATCTGTGAGATCATCGAGAGCAGGTAGGAGGAAAATAGGAAAACATGTCATCTATAACTCTAATCGTCAGTAACATCAAGTTTAACATTGCTTAGTTTTAATAATACATTTCAGCTGATGATTTTGAGAATTTACAAATTATTTCACTTATTGTAGGTAAGTATAATCTGTATATATATTTTACACAGGGATTTTAGCCTTTGCAGACCACTTACATGCACTAAAACCTATAGAACACACTACAGGAAAGGGAGCACTGAAAGAACACTGATAACTGACTCTTTTGTCTTAATGACAAAAAGCCAGCAATATTTCATGTTTCCTCTCTTTAAAAGCTCTTATTAGACAACACACATACTGGTTTATTGATTTGCATGTCTTGTTAATGTGTAACGATGTATTCAGCTTGTGTCCATTCTGACTATAAATCTCATACTCCCCAGTGTATTTGAAGCTTGCCACAAGGTCGTTGACTACCATCCTTTTGTTGAGGCCTGTGAGTTTGACGTTTGTCAGATGCACATTAATCACATTGGCTGCATCAGCTTACAAACTTACGCTGAAGTCTGTGCTTTGGCTGGAATATGCATCGACTGGAGGAATTCCACCAAAGGACTCTGTGGTATGCAACCAGATTATGTTATACAGGCACTATAACAATATCACAGCAATGACCTCAACTTAAAAAAGCATGATGTTTATTCTGTCTTCGTCTCTTATAGTATATACATGTCCAAGTCCCAAAGTGTATCAGCCCTGTGGCCCTCCGGTGGAGCCTACCTGTGATAACTGGTACAGACATTCACCAACTCTCATAGTCAATCCATCAACATTCATTTATGCTTTGACTCACATACAACATTGGCTCTCACGCAATATGTTGTTGTTTCTGCAGGTACAACCAGAAGTTTATCGATACTGTCAATGAGTTCAGTGAGATGACTAGTGTTGCGATGGAGGGTTGCTTCTGCCCCAGTGGCACCAAACTCCTCTCCTCCGCCTCTGATGAATGTATTCCTACCTGTGGTAAGGGCAGATGGCACTTCTCTATGGCAAAAGCAGTAAAGGCAACCTCGCATTCATTAATGGACTGTATTTTTATCTGACTGTTTTTGTAACAGTTTGTGTGCTGTAGAACAATTAGGATGTAAGGGAAACTAACTTTAAGGCCCTTCTGCCAGGTTTGTACCTGATCTGAGACCACCTGTGTTTATTATCCTTATCTTTCTCCTTAAAGTATTTTACCATTTCTTTGCCGTACTGTCGCTGACATTCTAAAAGTATTCTGAAATGTATTAAAAATGTCTTTCATTTTCCACTGTATCACAGAACTGCCAACTTTTCCTTATAATTAATAACCTGCACACATATACAGCTTTTTACTTAACCTCTTTTGGTTTATGCAAACCAACATATTCAACTTAAAGTGAAGGTAGACAAGCAGTGATTTAGCACAGTAAAGCTGTGATATTAGATCTTAGCCAATTTAAATACGGAGCATGCAAACTGAAAGCAACCTGCGTAGGCAATGGGTTAAGTTTTAATGGTTAATCATCATTTGGAATATGAAGTTTGAACATAAGATTAGTAAAGATATGAGGATTTTTAACATACTCAGTTTTTACTATCCTTATCTCCTGAGGCTGGCTGGCCAAACCACAAATTATTGTAAATTACTTTATTCATTCTATTTCCCTCCTAACAGAAATATGTCGACTGGCAAATGGAAAATGGAAAGAGGTAAATGTTTTTTCAACAATGCCAGACCCTTTTTCTTAACCTTTTGATAATACTATGCCTCCTGCCACACTTAACTTGTGTCCTCAGGCCAATTCCACGTGGACAGAAGACTGTAAGGCGTGTATCTGTGAAGAGGACACACTGCAGGTCAAATGCAGTCAAGTGTCCTGTCCAGCACCGCCACCTGTCAGCTGTGAGGAGCCGGGTCAGGTTAAAGTCACTAATACTGTTGGCTGCTGTCAAGAGGATAAGTGTGGTAAGTGAGCAGCAAGAAGTTTATTCACGTTGTGTTTGTCCCTTTTAAGTTGAACCCAAGGATGGCCTATCAGATGAGTAATGTAGGCAGCCAGAGCTCTGTGCAGGAACCATGTGTCAGACAGATCCAAAATATGATGGTTGTAAGAAGTCATTGATTTATAAAACAAAACATCTGATGCTTGCAGAATGTATGCAGTGGTTGTTCCAAATGAGCTGGAGTCAAGATGAACTAAGGTTTCACTAGATCATGTATGGCAGGATGTTTGCAGGAAGCCATGTTCAAAGTGAGATAACAACCTAGAGAATTGTACGTATGTTAATTGTAATGGAGGACCAAAAATGACCAAACCATGGTCTTTTCTTGCCTGTTGTGATTAGGATAAGGATGTTTTTAATGTATATAGTAAAGATGAATCTTATGTTATTGGCTTGTGTATAAACAGAGTGCGATGTGAAGCAGTGCCCTGGGGTTGTGCCGTCCTGTCCTGTGGGTTCTACTCTCCACACCACTGTGGGAGTCTGCTGTTCGAACCACTTCTGCAGTGAGTGTGCCATGCTGGTCCATCCTTTCACTCAATAACCAGGTTGATTTTCACTAGGATTTTTATATAAGAATGAATTTGAATTGAATTGGTATTTTTCCTTCACAGAGCCCATTCCGGATGTGTGTGTTTTCAACAACCTTGAATATCAGGTGAGATCCCACATGTTAATATGATGTGATGGGAATATAATACATCATCATCAAGGATTACAAGATGGCTTCGTTTAAAACATAGAGAACTGTGTCATCTTTCTATAGCCATATGTCATCAAGAACATTGTTAGACCTACTAAGTAGTAGTAGTGTGGGACATGTATGGTGGTTGTTGCTGTACTGCCTGCATACTGATGCTTTAAACAATTGCAAAAATACAAAAAGTATGCAACATTTAGACAAATCTAGGTGGGAATTGGTGTGTCTTATAGTGTGGGATCTGCCAATGAATGTTCCAGTATTTATAGTATATTAAATAACAAAAAGTGCATTATTTCTAAACACATGTGCACTAGATCTGTTGAAACCAAATACATAGAAAGCCACTGGACATTTTGATTCAGTTAATCTATTAATCTTGCATCACAATGCAGTCTCTCTTACAAATGGAAAGTTGAATACATAAGTCATAAACTATCAACGAGGAGCTGGTTCATGTTTGAGTCCTCTTTCCATCGATACAGAGGTAAATTGTGAACATATGTTAGTGGCCACTTTTCCAGTTACACTTATAAAACACAACCCAACCACACAGTAGTTAACTCGGAGGTATGAACGTATTGTAGTGATCACTGATTCATACACTGGGGTTACATAATTCAATCCGGGAACTACAGGTTGGGGGTATTGTTTCCGCCCGGACATATATGTTGACGGTACCTCCGGGGTACCTACTGTGTGTCCTCCTCTTTCACTTTCTCTTCTTTCCTGCAACCCGACAGCACGTCGATTTCTGCTCCCCAATAAAGAGAGATTTGCACCTCCGATGCACCGCCTCCGTCTCCCTTCTCTCGGCACTACATTGGTGACCCTGACATAAGTCTCGCGAAGGTTCCGAGACTGAACGGAACACGGCAAAAAAACTCTTGTTTTTTCTCGAAATGCCGGGGATTTTTGGAGACCTCCGTAGCTGCCACGTGCGCTCGGACTGTGGCTCGGTGCGCGCCACGAGATGGACGCGGACGACGCTCGCCTTTTCCACGGCTTTTCGGCTCTGGGGGACTGCAAGCCTTCCATGGGGCCGGTACGCGGCCGTGCCGGGTTGGTTCGGGACATGCGGCTGCATGTCCGGCCAGCGACTAACGGCCGCCGAGATCAGCTAGCCACGACTGCTAACGGCTAGCAGCTGGCAACAGCTAACAACGGCTAGCCACAGCAGCTAGCGGCTGACATCCGACTGTTTTTTTTATTTTTATTTTTGTTTTTTTGTGGTGCCGGAGAGGAGGTTCGATCACGTCTGGTCGGCCTCGTGTGGATCCTCTCGCTATTTCGCCCACCTGTTTTTGTTCGTGGACGGGACGACCATTTTTGAGCTTTTTCTGGTGCCTGAGAGGAGGTTCGACCATGTCTGGTCGGCCTCGTGTGGACCCTCTCGCTGTTATCACCACCTCGACGGCGGTTTCGGACGTCACACGCGGCTACTTCGGCCCGTGGGTGACGCGCTTCTGGACCCCGTCTCGCCTCTTCCCTCGCCTCGGCGGTTTCGAACGTCACCCGTGCCTTCATCGGCCCGCGGGTAGCGCGCTTCGGGACCTTGCCTGGCCTCTCCTCTAACCGCGGCTCACGGTTCGCCTCGACGGCGCCCCGTCTGGCCTCTCCCCTGTCCACGTCTCCCTCCTCCCGGCGACACGGCTCCTTCCTCCCGAGGACTTCGTGCCCGCCGCCGCTGTGCCTTCGCCTGCGGCCGGGCAGCGCTCCTCCCTGCTGGGGACCTCCGGGTGTTTCACGCCTGTCCCCAAGACGCGACCCTCTCCTGCGGCCCCCTGACGACGGCCCGTTCCATGGCCCGCCCTCCTCGGCCCCTGTGGTGCTTCCTCCCGGACGCGAGGATTGTGTCCATGGTTGAATTCTGGGGGGGCTTGTGTAGTGATCACTGATTCATACACTGGGGTTACATAATTCAATCCGGGAACTACAGGTTGGGGGTATTGTTTCCGCCCGGACATATATGTTGACGGTACCTCCGGGGTACCTACTGTGTGTCCTCCTCTTTCACTTTCTCTTCTCCTCTTTCCTGCAACCCGACAGCACGTCGATTTCTGCTCCCCAATAAAGAGAGATTTGCACCTCCGATGCACCGCCTCCGTCTCCCTTCTCTCGACACTACAGTATAACTATATGTGTATTACTGAGGACTGCATAAGAGAGGAAATGTCTTCTTGCTGACTGCTCACCCTGTCTACGCAGGTTGGAGACTCAGTGCCCATGAAGTCATGTGAGAAGTGCATATGTAGTTCCCGGACAAATGCCAGCAGCCACCAGAACATCATAGAATGTCAGCCATTACCATGTGACACACACTGCCCTGTGGTAAGATATTCAACATCCAATCAATTGTTGACATGTTTTTAACTGTGCACAGTGTTTGCTGGTAGGCTGTGTACTTGCCAGACCATACAGTTATGTGTTTCCTTAACTGACTTAAAGGTGGGGTAGGTAAGTTTGAGAAACCGGCTCGAGATCGCTAGAATTTGAAAATGCACAACCGGAGAAAATCTGCCACTTCCTTACAGAGCCCCTCCTCCAACACACACGAACGCGCACATGACCAATGAGGGCACGAGATAAGTTTGTGCACAGATGGAAGGCTGACAGGCAGGTAGGCCATCCAGTTATTTTAGCCTGGCCGGCTAAAATGATTGGTCGTACTGTTTACAGTACTACAGCTTCCACAGATGACATTTTTTTATGGATTTTTTGTCAAAGCACTTCAGATATTCATTGCTATCGGGATGTTAAGAGCATTCCATGGAATACAACAAAAAGTGTATCTCGAGCCGGTTTCTCAAACTTACCTACCCCACCTTTAAGTAATAGTTTTGGTAAACTTTATTTCGGGGTGATGGAATCTGGTGCCCTCTTGGATCAGCAGCCCTCCATCCGAACCAGAAGTCCTTTATTTGTCCCACAATGCTCCCTCATACATATTTCTTTTGAAGTTCATGCTACCTAGGTTCTTCATGACATTAATTATGATAATTAATCACATTCTATCCAATAAACATTCATCTTCTTTTTTCAAAGGTAACGGCAAGCACTGGCGGCATTGTCATTTTTCAATCCACATTAATGCCCATAAAAACTGAGCTCTGAAGTGGACTTTTCTGTTCTGCTTTGATTGTAGGTTCCATCATAAAATATGGGATAAGCAAAAGAAAAACAGAACACTTCCACATTTGATTTTTAAACCATCTATTTAGTACACAAAGTGAATCCACTTATAGGCCATTTTCATTACTTCTGCTAGGACACACGTTTGTCTTCACACCAGCCACACACATAGACAAGAGGTTAAGTGTTCTGTGTTTGCCCAAACTTTAGTTTTTATCTTTACTGCCACTGTAAATATTTAAGACAACTTATTAAAAAGTAAGCAATACTGTAAACCAAACAGACTACTAATGTCAAGCCAAATTGCGATGTTCTCATACTGCACATTTTCAGATGTTAATATCAGATCTCCAGCAGCTTTTATTATGTTAATTGTTTTACTGTGCTAAATGAGTCTTTGTGTTTCTGTTCAGGGTTATGAGTACCAGGTCAGCCCTGCTCAGTGCTGTGGACAGTGTGTCCAGGTCGGCTGCGTTGTCGCATTGCCCAACTCCACACACGCATTACAGGTTAGTATATGTGCGTGTGCATGCACTGTTCATTTGGAGAGAGAGAGTGAAAGAGGTTAGATGGGATGATTCTATGACGTCATCAACATTCATTTTTTGTTTGCTTTTGGTTAATGCCAACCATGCTGTATTTTGGAACTTATTTAGCAAAATATTTTGCGTAAAAAATTAAATAAACATACATAACCCCTGGTGTGACATCTCTTCAAGTTTTTCCGGTCATGCCACTAGAATCAGCAAAGATCCACAAGACATGAAGTGCATCTTTATTCCATGACACACACACATTGAAAGAAAGAGCAGACGAGGCAACATTCCACATATGAAGATCAGATGACTCTGATGAAGCACTCTTTGAGAGACTGTTTTACAAAAAATACAATTATTTGATTTTATTCTTTAGCCTGGAACCCTTTGGAGTCCCGCTTGGAACCCCTGTGTGAAGTTTGAGTGTGTGAAGATTGCTAATCACTTCATTACTGTTGAGGCCAAGACCATGTGTCCTCCCTACGACCCAGCAGAATGCATACCGGTAACTTCCCCACACACACACACACACACACACACACACACACACACACACACACACACACACACACACACACACACACACACACACACACACACACACACACACACACACACACACACACACACACACACACACACACACACAATGAGAAGTAGCAGTATACTGATGTGATCTGATTGTGTGTCTCCTGCAGGGAACTGAGACCGTCGCTCCAGACGGATGCTGCCACATCTGTATGTATTGCTTTCATGAACCTGCACACTAGTTAGCAGGCTCTCCTCTCTCTCTGCTTCACATTGATGTCAACTTATTATTTAACCATTCAGAAGCATTGTGATCAGCAGGCCATTCAACAACTAGTTTTGGTATTGATCCAGGGCAGTTACCTGACAGCTAGGAGCTCACTTAAGTACTCATGTTCTTACTAAAAGAAAATACTTTTCAACCATGACCTGCTACCATCAAACGCAGGAGAAGTAGCCTCCAGGGTATACAGCTGCTATGAATGTGTAAACCAGGTCAGATAGAAAGATCTCATCCCTCCTCTGTCCTGCCTCAGGTATTCAGAGAGGTCACCCCTGCAGTGTGAGCAGCACTGCTGTGATCGTGGAGAGCCAGGACTGCCACTCAAAAGAGGTCGTCAATGTCACGTCCTGCGCCGGAGCATGTGGAACCTTCACCTTGTAAGTCCCCCTCATGTCATTGTCCCAGGATGGGTAAAAATAATAATATATTTTTTTTCAATTGCTAAAACTCATTTTTTGGAAACTTATTTTCTCAAAACACTAAACACAATTCAGAAAACCACACACCCAACGTGCAAAACACCTCATATATCTTGCAAAATGACCCACTGCACTGCACTCAAAACTACGTAAACGCTTACCAAAACCAAACTTTGGTACACACTTATTTTATAGTTCAAGACACTTTTTCCCACCAACTACACACTGTGGTGCTCAATCTAAAGCACACTCATCTTTGATGGCGTCCTGTAGAGAATTCTGCCTATAAAGACTGTTCGGGTCTACAGAAATATGTGCAGAAACACGCTGTCATTTTTTTTTTTTTGGTGCAACATTCAAGCACACCACATAGACAAAAATGTCGATGACTGTAAAATCATAGTAAAGTGAAAGGAAACTTTGAGGAAATAGAAAAAAAACTGCAAACAAGTGAATTTGTCAGATTTTCTTACTTAGAGAACCGGGTGCAGTGTTTTGCAAACTTATTGCAGAGCTGAACATGTGTTTAGAGTTTTGGAGATTTGAGCTGAGGTTTTGCTCTTGGAGTGTGAGATTAAATAATTGTGCTTTATGTGTTAGCAACTGAAAACAACTGTAGTAATAATAATCTGCGGCTTTGTACTTTCGCTATGACATCATCATTGTTATTGCCTCTGATGAAGCTTAGAGTAGTACACTGATCATTACATATATTACATGTACGTATATAATATTATTTTCTGTGTCACCTTTATCTTCACACATGGTTCCACTCTCTCCTCAGTTATTCTACCAAAATGCGAGCTCTGCAGCACACCTGCTCCTGCTGCCAGGAGGTGGCTACGTCTGAGAGGCAGATCCAGCTCTCCTGCCCCGACAGCACAGAGATCAGCTACAGCTACACCCTCATCGAGGCCTGCGCCTGCCTGGACACCGACTGCTCTGTGGTGCGCCGCGGGCAGACCTCTGCCCCAGCTACCAGCTCTCGCCGACGCAGGAGATAAGGCCAAAACCAGGCATCATCTGCATACATTTTCCTCTATCTATGTCTCATGTATTAGGGCAGATACAATTATAAACCCACATATATCTCTTTAATAAAGATCATACAGTACTGCAGGCGGAGTATGTCTTGTTTTCTATGCACAGTGTGTGAGTGAGAATATTTGTCAATATGAGAAGTGCACCCTTTGAAATGAAATCTAAGTCAAATGTCTACAATAAACCCAGATTCAAAATCATTTATTACATGGCTTAGTTTAATATTCAATTCTGATTGGTCAATCAGTTTGAGGTGTTTACTCTACAGCTCTGTAGTAGCTGAAGGTTCATCAGAGAGCAGAGGTACATAAAATGGAGGACATGTTTAGGGCTGAGCCTGGGACAACATGGACTTGCTTTAGATGTATATATCATGTAATAACAAATAAGCAGCATAAATATTAAATGTAATGCTGAATGCACTGTTAATTGAACCTTGGATTCTGAATCATCGTTTTGAATCTAATACACAGTCATAGTTTAAAGTGCCACCAAGAGCACTAAAATATGTCTGATGGCGCTTTTCCACTGCAGCACGTAGCACGGTTTAAGCGGGCTGTGCCAAACCCGGCCCGCTTTTTTTTGCTTTTCCACTAGGGGTAGTTCCGGCTCAGGGCTACTTTTTCACCTTTTTTCTGGCCTTCCAAAATCGAGGTTCTTCCCGGGCCAACAACCGGGCTGAATATGCTAAACTAGTGACGTAAACACTCTCGACTGCTGAATGGTCGGAGAGAATCGCTTGCAAGGGGGCTACAACTACAACAAAATGAACATATTTTACCGTGATTTAATTGTAATACACGTTTCAAAATGATGCCGAAGTAACAACATACTGATACTGGTTTGTAAAAACCATGAATTAATGCTTTGACAAGTCTGCAGACAAGACGGCAGGCGAAACACCTTTTAAAATGCGTGTTTTCTGAATGGAGATCGGATCGGTTAGGAAGGGAGATGCGCACGCCGGGCGAGATGATGATGGGCTTGCCCACCGACGCTCCTGTGGACCCCCCAGGGTTCGAATATGCCAGGAAACTCCAGGAACGGTTGCAGTCTGCTCACGACTTTGCCAGGCGCCAGCTACAGAGTGCAGGGGCGAGGCAGAAGAGGAACTACGATGTGCATGCTAGAGGACGGCATTTCAGTGCAAGTGAGTTGGTCTGGGTGTATAACCCACAGAGGAAGAAGGGCAGATGCCCAAAGCTGGACAGCAACTGGGAAGGGCCCTGCAGGGTTCTGGAGAGACTGAGTGAGGTCGTCTACAGGGTCCAACTGCAGCGGAGAGGGAGAATAGTTGCTCTTCACCGGGACAGGTTGGCACCCTATCGGGGTACAGCGACACCACTAGGTTCAGTTGGTGAGACACAGGGGGCAAGGGACACTGTTCTTTCTTCTTCCCAACCCCTCTCTCACGACCCGGGGACCTTGCCTGGTTCCCCACAACCTGGACTGTTTTTCCCTTGCCCTACTCTGAGCCCCACGGTGGGCCTGTCTCCCCCTGCCGCAGACCAGGCACGGCCGCAGAGAAACCGCAGACCCCCTAACCACCTGAAAGACTTTGTTTATTCCCTCGAGGACGAGGGACTTTGAGGAGGGGGGAAAGTGTAACGGACTGGTTATAATGTTGATGTTTGATGTGTTTGTTGTTCAGAGTTTGTTTGCATTTTACAGAGTGTCAGTGAACGTGCCACTGTTTTGATGAACGGTTCTTGTGACCTGTAGCTGTGGGTTTGGGTGGGATAGTGTTGTCTGGTTGGTTGGGGCTGGAAGAGTGAGGTTCCTGGAGGGAGAGACGCGGGAAGCTAGGGGAGAGCTAGCGGGTTATGTGATGGAGAGTGAGAATACGACAGGTTTAGTGGATTGTTTTTGGCGTGGTTACGGCCAACAGTAACCTGTGATCTGTATAATAAACTCCCGGATAAAGGACAAACCAAGCCTCCCTGTGTTCCTGTAGCGAGACGCTACAGTAATTTTTTAATTAACCTTTTTTTTTGCGTGAGAATTACTGCTCTAGTGAGCGGCCCAGCCCTTCGTATATTTTTCTGGATGTGGCCCTCAGTGAAAAAAGACACCCCTGCTGTAGCGTGTTGAAACATGAGAAACTGGTAATGGCCCTAAACACAGGCGGACATTTTGAGTTTTGCTGAACACATTAACTGCTTCATAAATGAGCTGACTTTCTTCGGAGCCTATTAGGCGCGTCAGCCGCATGATTTAGATCAGGGGTGGGGAACCTTTTTCCTCTCAAGGGCCGTTTCAATTTTTTCAACATCCTCCGAGGGCCGTACAAATTATTGACCTCTGCTTAAAAGTACTAAAATCACAGCCCATTCATTTTGCCTTTCTTTCATGCTGTGCAAAGAAAAAGCAACCTCTTAATCCAGATATCTTACCATGACTCACGCATGCATGTGTAACGGAGTTAAACATTTGTATAAATAATTATTAGTTTATAAATCAAGATTTATATAGGTTGTGAATTTTATTTTTATGAGATGTTTCCTTTTAATATTTTTGAGTAATGTTTCTAGTGGGAACACTTTCCCGTTGCACATCATTTTCTACTTCCGGTATGTAACTTCCGCCCTCCCCTCACAGTGACGTGAGCAGTTATGTGGGTGAGTTGCGCTAGAAACTGTGTTGCAATATATATAATTTTGTATATTAAATCTGCTATTTAAGTTAATGACAGTGATTATATTTTGTTTAGTAACACTGTGGGTACAACATTAATACGTTTTTGTTACGTTTTAACCGTAGGAAATAGCACTTTAAGCTACTTAAGAACCAGCGACGTGCAGTCAGTGGAGGCAGGGGAGGCAGAGCCTCACCTGTCATACTCCAATGTAACAGAAAAACAATTAAAGAAAAACTAAATAGTAATAATAATAAAATGTCTCCACTGATCTTGTGTAAGTGTGATTTCTGTATGATTCCAATCGCATTTTATAGTCAAAATCAGCAAATTTGCCGAGCTCCGCTACGGGAGCGATGACAAGTGAGGCAGGGACGAGCTCTGCCTCACGTAAGCCTACAGTAACTTGCTGGAGCACGGGCACTAATTTAGCGCGGGCACTTATTTTGTGAGCGCGCTCCAGCCAGTTACCGTGGGGTAAGGTGAGGCACAGATGAGATCTGCCTCACTTCAGGATGCGTCACCCCACAGAAACTGGCTGGAAAGCGGGCCCTAAGCGCATGCCTGTTCCCATCTCACTGTAGGTCACCAATGTAATATTTGTAGATCCCTTTATTACATTTATCCTCGCCATCCATAGTCTCTCAATAACTTATTTCACGTATATATGATATTTAGGCTCGCTGGTCTCATCGTACAACGGCAATGAAAAAAGCACCAAGAGAGGCAGCCATAACCTCTGCCGCACTGAAGGGGGCGCACGTGAGCCCACAGGTTCTTGTTGCTACTGTTATTCTACACAGAGACGGTAGACGCAAACAACAAACTAGACTTTTGAAACTAGAGGAAGATAAGGAGGACTTTTACAAAACAGTAATAGAGATTGTTGTCCAGAAGGATAGCATGGACTTCATCTTCAAGTCAAGGTAAGACCACAATTGTAATGAAAATGGGATCTTACTTAGAAAGAACAATCCAATATTTAGATTTTGGGTATCCTTTTGTTGAACGGTCTGTTTAAAATTAATCATAGCATCAGACTAAAAAAGCTTTTGAAAATAACAGAATATTTCGATTAAGGTCAAAATAGGCTATAATATTTGTAAATCTGACTCTGAAAGAGTCAGTGCCTCACCAGCCATGAACCTCACCGCACGTCACTGTTAAGAACTATCACCATAGTTTTGGCGCGATTTAGACCCGATCACGCCATTTTGTTTGTTACCATGGCAACACTTTTTCTGAGTTTCCTGTCTTCTGTTTTTGTAGTGATGTGACATGCAACGCGGATGTAAAGAGAATGTTGTGTTCGTTCTCAAGTATGTTTGTGTTTGTATTTTGTGTGATTATTTAAAAATAAGATTTTCTTGGCCATTTACTCATTTCTCATTGTATAAATAAGCTAGTATGTATAAATAAATACTAGAGACAGTGACGTGAGCAGTTATGTGGAATAAATGCCAGAAAACACCCCAGATGCTTCGCTGTCGTTTCCTGAATGATAACAAGTCGCTTACGGTTGTGACCCGTTACACATGCACGTGCACGGTTGTGGCATGACCACCAAAACAGAAAGATATGGACACAAGATGTGGGCAAATGTATTTAGTTTCCTATCCATGTGGACAAGATTTAAGTGGGTGTGGACCCAGGCCGGAGGTTCCCCACCTCTGATTTAGATAGAAAGCGACTCTTAGTCTCGTAATGAGATCCGCAAACAATGGGCTGCTTTACATCTCCTTCTTCCCGGACAATGTAAAATATGGAGGCCCTCATCGCAGAATGGGAGCTAATTTCTGTTGAATTATACGTAATATTTTACGCTTTATAGAAGACATTTCAGGCTCTTTGTCATTATGTGTAAGAGGCTAAAGAGAGAACATTTTAGAAAGTTTAAAAATGCAATGAATTATGAATAATGACCAACGCTGTTCAGTGGAATTGGCATGTAAAATGAACTGCTGCATAAACGCTAAAGTGCTTTAATTCTCTAAAGACAAGCATTCATCCTAGATAAGATATGATAATAGATTATCGTAATCCTCTGTGTATTTATCCTTCCAAGCTGGCAGTAGATAGTTTTCTAAAAATAATATGCATTGATTTTTGCAAAAGCATAAACAATGGTTCATTTTTTAATTGTTACTTTACATCAATGCAGCACAAATACCCTTTTCTTGAAATGTTAATGAAAGTGAAAAATATTTTTGAGTATCTATGATTCAGATCGGCTACACGTTTTATTACTAGGATGAGCATGTGAATCCTTTCCCAGTGCGATCCAGTTTTTCTAATTATTCAGAAAGCATGAATATTTCTCAAAAATAAACGAC